AACTGTTCAGCAAACAGTGAGGCAGTTCACTCAAATAAAAAAAAAAAAACATGCTCACATATAAAATTGTACTGGCACACGAGAGATAATTTGTCATGATTGTTTCCCTCTGAAAAATATGCCTCAACATCCGAACGGTGGAAGTAAAAAGAGGTTGATTGTGATGCTCAAAACACTGAAAAGTTAAATTTGACGAATGTTCAGAACAACAACGTCAGCAATTTATGGTATTTTCAACCTTCAGCACAATGCTAATGAAACACAGCAAATAATAAACAGCCCCCTGGGGCCTTGGGGAAAAAATGGATTAAAGACAAAGACAAATGATCATCGTAGCTAAGATCACAGAGCAGAGCTACGAATTAGACGCATGTTCAAGCACCGCAGACACACAGATGGAGTCGAGGAGTGACAGCTGTCGTTGTGCTCAACGTTTAGCGGCCAGAGCAGGTGGTACTGTACGTTATGTACAGATCTAAGAATTGATTTGGACAGAAGGAGTGGAGCGATGCATGCAACATGTCACCAGATCTGGTGAAGAAGAAAGGGCTGAGATATGCAGGGAATACATCGTGGATTTCTGGTACGCGAGCCAACAGCAGCAGTTAGAAAATACCAGAAAACACCATCAGGCCCAGTGAAGAGGCAATATGCCGAATTCAAGAAAACATCTGCGGTGCCAGCTGCCCAACACTGAGTGGCATCTTCACACTCACACAGTCGGTCCTGGCACCTCTAGCTGACACTGCCTGTTGGACGGAGCTGTAATGATGCAGACTGTTGCGATGCAGTCACCATTTCTAGGTCATTTGACCATCTAAAATAGACCTCTGCAGGAGTGTTCTCTCGCCACGCACATGGTCGTGGCACAAAGAAATACAACAATAAGCCCTGTGTGTTAGAAATGGATTCTCTGCTTTCATAGCTCTATTGCCAGAGAGGTTCTGTGTTAATAAGAAATATCTAATTACAAGCTTTCCACTGTGCTTTCCTGCAAACTTAAGAGTAGGTAACACTGAAAAACAGCAGCAAATAGGAAACATCTGTTAAAAGGTTGTCCTGTCAGAATACTTTAAAACTCAGCTATTGCCAACACAGAAATACTTTTTACACTGTAGTGTGCCAGAAATTAAGGCTCATTTCTCTGCAATTACCCACTGAACTGAGCTGATAGGGAGAACACCCATCCAAAGCTACTATTGTAGAGATCAAAAGCGTCATTACCATGCATAAATAGGCAGGATGAAAGACAGCGAGACGGCGGTTATTGTCCTGTTCACAACATTAGCCGAGGACGAGAGACGTGTCATTATATCAAACCAAAAGTCAAACAGCAACAGGATAGACTGATGACTTGGTGCGTTATCAAGAAAGAAAGAAAGAAAGATTTACCAGATAAGATTGCAAGCGCTGTATGAAATGGATCCTGGGCAGATATGAAATGAGGTTACGTCTGGCAAAAGGGACAAAGAACACTCTGCTGATCTAATTGGCACACAGAAAAACCTGAACGCATTAGAGGACAGAGGGAATAAACTTTGTGAATAAAGGGGTTCATTGAACACAGGATAGACTACGGTCTATCTATCCACTATTGTTGCCTTGGTTACCGCCTCTAGTGGGCGATGAGTGCTGACGAAAATGGTGGTGAGAGAAGAAAGAGAAACGCACAAACATGGAGGGTGAAAAACAGGAGAGCGTCATGACAAAGGTGCATTTCTTTGAGGTGAGAGACGGAGCTTCCTGCGTTAAAAGGCTGGCAGAGTCAAAGTGAACACCTGGCACCTTGGGTCCCACAAAATCATCAACACTACATGTTCTTTTGCATTAGTAAAACTTCCTCTTTTGGCAGTTGGTAACATTTGAAGGATCAAAATGAGTATTTCGAGCGACAAACCTTGACAAAAGAATCATGAATTTCAGAACATAAGATAGAAAATAGCGTTACTGTTTCATCTACATTCAGATTAAATGGACAAGGCTTGTTGAGTGAAATATTGTCCTCAAAGTTACCCTGGGCAGCAGGACAATAAGCCTCTTAAATAACTGGGACAACACAAAAGCATACATGGCCTGTTTCAGCTCCACAAATGACTGACCTCACGACTGGAACAGTGCTGGGCATGTGAGGACAATAGAGGGCTGGAAGTCTGCAGTGTTTCTATTCCACCAATTGATTTCACTGACACCATTCAATAAGAGAATAGCTCAAGCCCTGCTCTTTAACCGATGCATTATATTCCCATTACCTTAAAAGATGCTGCACACAGGGACACAAGAATCAATGATAACAGATTATCACCGTGCACAAGTACGCACACATTTGTATTCAGAGTGCCAGACGGAGACTTCACCAAGTGCAAAACACTGCACCAAGTTAACGCAAAAGGCACAAAACAACACGTGTTCTACTCTTTACACGAGGCCGGTCAAAAATTCAAAGATTAAAAGTTCAAACACTGAAAACAGTAACAGCGTAGGATGTGTCTTCCACATGCATCCTCTTGATATTGGGGGACTTTTTTTTTTTTTTGCAAAACTAAACTCCAAACCCAATTTCCTCCAGACAGTCAAAGTAATATTTCCTGTAAAGAGAAATAATTTGCAAAGGTTTTAGAGGTTGTTTGTTTGTTTTTTTTGCAAGAATCAGACTTTTTTTTTTTTATAGAAAAATCTAATGTTTGCTGCAGCAGACACTTTGCCTGCACAGCGGGAGACTGACGAGCAACAAATCTCCACCCTTGGAAGGATGCAGGTGGATGCAGGTTGACAAGTATGCATCCAGCAGCACTGACAATATTGAGATAGCTGCATAAAAAGTGCATCCATCTCCTGCAGCACAGGCAGGGAGACTGAGCTTAAACACATTACCATATTGCAAAGGTTGTGATAGATATGCACTACAGAGAGTCACATGAGATATTGTATTCCACCAGTCACAATTTACTTATCCTGCCAGCCCACTTATACAGATTGCACTGGTGCTTCTGGGCACCAGAGAAAAAGAGGCCAATACGTTCTACAGCCTCTGCTTCTATCCTCCAATGTATTTTCTGTCATATTTCTTTTTCTATAAGAACAATAGCACAGCAGCTCCATGTTAATGTGAAATCTAGCCCTATCTTTTATACAACACTAAGCATTTTCTTAGCATAAAGGGTTCTGATCACAACAAAACAATCCTTGAGGCTCACCTGTTATTGTGACTGGACACCCACAGTGCAGGTGTGCTGCATGTTTTACAGCGTGAATCACTCGCAACCTGTTTCTGCTGAGCTCCATCACATTGATTAGTATTCATGTGACCTCTCTGACTATGCAGCATTACAGTCTCCATTAAAAGCAGCAGTAGCTCTCCCATCAACACCGGGCTCATTCTGACGCTAAGTCTGCTTGGACATGTAAGCCTGTGAGGACTTGTGCTCCTGATCCTGAAAGGTGACAGATGCGCGCACACACAAACAACTGAAGGACATGCAAGCACAAACAGAAGAGCTTGACCTTGACTTCTTCGTATGTTCTGTCCTAAAACTTATGCACAGACATTTTGTTTGCAGCAGCTGAATAAAAAAAAGCCACAGCAGTAAAAACTGAACACATGTGATTTACTTAAACATACAGAGAAAAGCCTTATTTGTACTAACTTTACATTTTTTTTTTTTTTTTTACAAAAATAGTACTTCAAAACTGATGACTCTCACATGCTCGTGCACACATAAACCCATACTTAGACCCCTGCAGCAAGGACCCTCCTCCAGCCATTGGGTTAGCAAACTTCATTCCTGCTTCATCTGATCTCTCTTTACAATCACTTCTCTTGTTGAAGATGTTTTTCCCAAGGCTAAACTCCACCATCAGGCCTCCATCAACTGCCTACAGCTTCAGCTCATACACCTTGATGATGTCTTTGTGTAAGACTAGAGCCCATTGTTCAAGTCAACAAATCTCATGATCCACTCATGAGCAAACTACCCAACTGTACGTCTGCATGACCGAAGCCTAAGGCTGGAAAAGAACATTCATTTAGGGTAAATAGGAGTTATTTTGGTACCTGTATATACTTAATGCAAGACTGAGAACCACAATAGTATCTGTATTATTTTAATTTTAATCTAGAGTGTGCTCTTAGTAAATGCCTCTATATTTAATTCAAGAGGAACCTCATAAATACAGAAAGACCGACTACTGTAGTCGTGCCAACAAGAGGCAACACATCAGTTGAAAAGACACAGACACACTGCCACACCGAGGAGTCACGTTATTTGTGGGCCACGGGGAATGTGCTACAGAGGTTGTCCCCGTTTTAAGCCGTTTTCCAGTTACGATATTTAGAAAACCCCACTCTCCTCTGTGTGGCCGTTATCTCTGTCGCCTCTTTTGCGTCTCTCCTCACAGATGGACAGACTGACAGGCAGAGAGGTAGATACAAAAAGTCTGCTGTCTGCGTCTGCGTCAGGACACTGGCCTTTTATGGGTGCTCCTCTCTCACATTCCCTAATGGATTCTCCTATTATAGGATGGAAAATGAAAGCTCTATTATAATGGTCCGAGTACAGTCTGGTGTTAATACTGTAGCTGGCTGGGATGTTCTCTGTCTGCTCCTACCGTATTACAAACCCCACTTGAGCCGATGAAACAAACAAAAAAGAAAAAACCTGTTTATGTGCAGCACGCAGTGGAGTTTCTCTACCAGCACACTGAACGAGATGTTTACTTCGCAAAGTGTTTCACCTTATAACAGATCATGTGATAATCACTTCTAGTTGTTATGATTAAAAGACTATTTCATTCACACAGGGCATATGATGACACAGGATGACAAAACATTAGCATCAGAGGAACCCGACATGAAACACTGCTTAGAAACTGGCACACAATATGCTCACATTAAACACCGTGAAGCTCGCCAAACACAAAGTCAGTCCACACATTAAAAACAGAGACTAAAACTGACAGAGTTAAGTCACATAAGCACACAAGTTGTTATTGTTGTCACCAACCTTCTCCAGCTTTTCAAAATGCTCCCGCAGGAACTTCATAGGACGCTCAGGCTTAGCGATGCAGAGGTTCACAATGCACTCTTTGAGGATCTGCTGGATGTTGTGCTTCTGCACAAAAATTTCACAGCCCTTCAAACTCTCGTCTTCTTCCAGAGTGGAGGAGGAGGTGGCCATCTTATCTTTTATCTCTGTGGCAGTGGGAGAAAACAGGGTGGACCATGAGAGGAGGGGAGGGAATCAGAATAGAGAAGGGGGAGAACAGTGTAGCAGGAGACACGAGGGTTGAGGAGAACAAAAAAAAAAAATAGAAAGGAGGAGCAAAATGGGGAGCGTTTACAATAAGATAAGAAGGGGAAAGGGGAGAGAATGGGTGAGGAATGGATCATTGGGAGGAGGCAACTTAATATTTCAAGAGTAGCTTATGTTTCCTGTGTTGGTAATATTGTAAGTGTTGCAGGTGTGTGTTACCTGTTTTAGTTGTAAATATAAATGACAACATAAGATTTAAGCAATGTGACAATATCTAATGAGACTTTGCAGTGTTGTTTTGCTAAACTGTGTACCTGGTCATTTAATATTATCAATCTCAGTACTGGATTTTAGTGACTATAGCACCAACTGACATGATGTCCCTTCACTTGTAATCTTGTCAAACAAAGAGACATTCCCCAAACATTTTCTCAAGTAAGTTTCCTAAAAATGTGCTTCGCAGGCAGACATGTACTGACAGCATAAAACTGCAAATCATAAGCCAGAGGGTTTTATCAGACACTCATGTTTGGTTGGCACATCATTGGATCAAAGCTTTTACATCTGTTTCTGTGAATGTGACTAAAGAACACTATTAAAACTTGTGCTAAAATAACACATTCCTGGTGCAAGACACATCTGCCCTTGTGGATGAAGTTGAATGAGCATGAAGATTTTGGGGAAAAAATGGGACTTAATTAGTGAAATTAAAAACGTGAGCAGGCAAAAAAAACAAACGATGCAACAGTGAATGGCAACTGAAGACAGCTGTGGTTACAAACATGCCAAAAACATTGCAATATGTCTCATGGCAACCCAGGAAGCTGAGCAGGTGTAGCTAGCTAACTGTTCACCAGCCTGCATCACTTCCTCAAAGGGAAATCACGTCTACGACAGAACCGCAAGATCAATTCTAATCAACATCTAATAATTAACTAACCTAATTAACATCTACCGAGTGCAGTTTCTTCGCAACAAACACCACGGCGGTGTTCTTGTTTTCCCCGGTAGACTGTGGAGCTTGTGATGAAACTGAGCACCTGTTCAGCTGCGTTCAATGGACAGCTAACGCAGCTAGCTTTGCTAACCTTACAATGACAACCAAACCACCGCGAAAGGGGAATTACTGCGACTAAACCGCACCAGGAACGCAGTCAGGGCCCGGTCTGAAAGCGGTGCTCTAAAAAGCGGCAGAGCTCTGTTCCTACCGTAGTTTGGTGGAGGATGCTCAGTGGAAAGATGGAGCAGATACGGAGGTTAGCTGGATGCTGCTGCTGCTGCTGCTGCTGCTGCTGGCTCTGCGTCAGGAACGATGACGTCAATCTGTCATCTCTCTCGAGGCCAGCAGCAGCAGCGAGCACGCGGCAGCACATTTGCAGGTAAAAAAAAAAAAAAAATCCTTAAAGGCAACATGGAGCCCCAAAAAAGACCTGGAGAGTATTGTTATTCAAATAAATCAACGTTATTAATCCCTCATCAGGGAAATGTACATGTTAAGCAGCTGGATACAGGTGAGGCTGCAAGAATTATGTATAATACGGCTAAAAATAAAGACATATTAAAGACAATGTGTAGGGCATGATGGATATACATGTGGATATGTTCAGATATCACATAGTGAGTTTATATACAAATATGTACAGATATAACATGGTGACTTTAACTATGGATATGGACAGGTATGACATGATGAAATTATTCTTATTACCAGAAGCCTTGTTAGTATGTTGATGCCAAGGCCTCCTCCACATTTTTTTTTATAGTGGTGGCAAGATGGGACCTCAGAAAGTCTTGGAGAGGCACACAAAAACCAAACACCATAACAAACTTTTAGGAATTTATCATGCTGTTGTTGCATTTAGGCCGCTTCCAAAGTCCATCTGAAGTGGGGGAAAAAAGTCCAAAGAGACCAAATCTCCATCATCACCTGATAGAATTAAGAGCAACTTTGTAGTGAGGCCGACACATTTTGGCTTGTGGTCTTCATTAAGTTCATCATACAACACATCACAAAATATTTAAATAAGAGACATTTTGTTGGTGTTAGATATCAGAGAGATAAAGAGTGTGTATAAAAAAAAAATTACATGTCCTGAGAAAAGGGTGCAGAATGCTATAACCCACACAAACACTTGCTACACTATGTGTGCTTCATCTCAGTTTAACACCTGCCCCCTTCATCACAAACTGGAAGGAAATTTGATAGCAGGAGGTACAGTGTCACCAACTGGTTATCAGGTCAAAGTAGCCAAGAGGAAGACTGCACTGTATTTGAGGGGAAAAAAATTCAAAATTCGAATAAAAAATTCAGCCATCGACAAGATATCCAGAGTTTAAGTATGATTTCAATATGACAAATTATTTCTATGTAAAATTTATCTATTCTGACTTCGAGAAAGGTTTTGGAAAACCAGCTAATTTCTATTGTTCCTAATCGTGCTGTAGAGATGCCCTGTGTTGGAACACAACTTATTCCCCCTATGAAAATCTAAACACCAATAATTCATGATGACCATTGCATACCCTCAATAGTAGTTACTGCCCTGACATTTTTCAACAATATGTGCAAAATAACAGCTTTGACACAGGAACGATAAATCCCATTTGATCATTAGCGCTTTCCTTTAGATATTTGCATTTTTCTGAATCACACATGTAAGTCCTACTTTCAGATTAAACTTTAAAAATGTAACATCACAATGTTTTTGCACTGGACCATAAGCTGTCATGCGGTCTGCGTTTTGCTGTAGTTTTGTGCAGCCCCTCCCTGTCGGTGCATTAGCAAGTAGCAAAGTAAAATCTTCCTTATGTTTTATCCAGAGAAACAGTTGTATTCTGGGATAACATGCCACGTTTCTGTGAATTTTACTGAATGCAAATCAATTTGGTTGTATTTGCATTTAGCCACAATACCAACGAGAAAAATAAAAGCGTTAAACCTTGAATTTTACACAACTAGATTTAAGAGTTTTGCTCAAATTAATCCAGTGTTTAATCCAGTGTTAACAAGCGACATCAGTTTGACCTCACGAAGTTATACGTCTAATAATGATGAGAAGTCGTAACCCTAACGCCTTATATCTGTGCTGTTAAAGTATGCAAAATATTACATTTTATGAAACTTAAAATGAAAATGTTTAACATTTTGATATTGTGAGTGTGTGTCAACATTAAGTTTGTACATTTAAAGAGAACTCGGGACAGGAAGACGATTCGTGTTTGTAAATACAGATAAAGTTTGAGGTTTTGAATCCGGAGCTGCCGTAAAGCAGCCTTTTGTTTGTCGTGCAGCTGCCGGTTGCCATAACGACAGTCAAGATGGCAGCGATGGCGGCAGGAGATGAGCATGCTGCCTCTGAAGTTCTGAGAGGAGTCGCTCGACATTTAAATTGCCTGAACGAGGACAACAAGGCGACACGAAAGCGAGCTCTGGAGTTAATCCGGAAGGAGACGCTGGATAAAGGGCTGTCCGGCAGCGTCCTTCAGGAGGTGTTCTCTGCCCTCCTCAAGCCTCTGCTCAAATGTCTGTCAGACCCGATGGAAAGATGCAGAGAAACCACGATAGCGATGATAACGGACTTTATTCGATGCGTCCCCAAACCGGAGGAGTCGCTGCCTTACCTCATGCCCTGCCTGGCTCAGCGGTTTGGGGAGAAAGAGGTCCTGGAGCCGGCGGAGGAGCTTCGGCTGTCGGCCACGGAGATGCTGACTCTGACAGTGGAGGTGTGCGGGAAGCATTTAGCTCCTTTCCTGAGCGAAACGATCCGCATACTGCAGAGGGGCATCGTCGACCCTTTCCCAGATGTCAAAAGAGAAAGCTGCAGATGCACCGTGAACTTTGCCAAATGTGTGCCAGGTTGGTGAGAAGGTCTCTGCTGTTGATGAAGTCTGTTACCATGGTTTCAGAGCACGCAGACATGTTTGCGACACAGAAGCTGTCTTTCCTGCTTCTGCATCTGTATTAAATGGCTTAGAGACGGCATGAGGTTGTCTGGGTTACCATGGGTAGTGGTCAGACTGTGCTGAAACACTTCAATTGTCATTATTAATTCGCTCTAATTATCTTCAATAAGCGATAGATAGATAGATAGATAGATAGATAGATAGATAGATAGATAGATAGATAGATAGATAGATAGATAGATAGATAGATAGATAGATAGATCCAGAAGCTCACACATGCTACATTTAAGAAAAATAAGGAGGTAACGTGCAAATCACGCTGGTATTTTACAGTAAAATGAGTTCCGAAAAGAGCATTAAAAACTCTTTAATGCAATAAGCATATAGAATATAGCATATAGAGGATTATTGCACAGTAGGCAATGCAATAATGTGTGCAAATGGCCTTTTTTTGTTTTCTGTTATTCCAATAATCATTGCACTGCCTCTGTGTCTTCTTGACCTCTATAGCAGATTTCATATTCGCTGATCCTGGTTCTGCTTCCTGTTCAATGGGATTCGTTTTTCTCTTCTGTCACAGTTTTGCTCACAGGGGGATCCAGGGAATCCTTGGATTTGTTGGGTTTTGTGAGTATTTTTGTTGAGTCGTAACTTTGATTCTAAATTGTTCAACCTGATCTTTATAAGTATACTGTAGGGTCTTAGCTTTAATATTCATTAAAGTCAGCTAAAGTTGTACTTTATTGTTTTTTGTAGGGTGTTAATCCTTAATATCTGAATTTCTCAGGTGATTCACATCATAAATAACCCTGGAGGGTCGTGACCTCAGTATTTAGACTTGATGCAGGGACTGAGGTGACCTGACCAAAAACCTCATTCTTCCCCAGCAGTTCCATTTAGTCAACATGAACTGTTAGTTTAGTCCAGGAAATTTTCATTTGGGATGGATTTCTTGTTGGGTAGTGATGTTGTTGAAGGACACGCTTTCCACAGTTCCCAACTGTAATTCTGCCTTTGAAACCACAAAAAGACATTTAAAGATGTAAAATAATAGTTGAGGCAACCAAAGATCCTGAGATTATTTAGTCTCCATTTCCATCCATTTTCTATACACCGCTTAATCCTCACTAGGGTTGCGGGGGGGCTGGAGTCTGTCCCAGCTGACCCAGGGCGAAGGCAGGGGACACCCTGGACAGGTCGCCAGTCCACCGCAGGGCTACACTTAGAGACAGACAACCAAGCACACTCACACTCACACCCACGGACAATCCAGAATCACCAATTAACCTCAACATGTTTTTGGACTGTGTGGGAGGAAGCCGGAGAACCCAGAGAGAACCCACGCTGCACGGGGAGAACATGGAGACTCCACGCAGAAAGATTCCGGTGCCCCCACCGGCAACCTTCTTGCTGCGAGGCAACAGTGCTACCAACTGCGCCACCTTGCAGCCCTTATTTAGTCTCATTTTACAAAATTGTATTATTTTATTGTATTATTGAAGCAGCTTTTAGTAACTTAATTTAATGTCTTTCTCTTCAGAGCACTTTCACATGCAGGCTGAGAGTCTTGTGAAGCCTCTCACGCTGACGATCGCTCATCAGCACTCCCGGGTACGAGTGTCTGTCATCGAAGCCACTGGTGCAGTTATTCAGCACGGCAGCGGCAAAAATGTGGACGACGTGCTCTCTCACTTGGCACAGAGACTGTTTGACGACTCACCACAGGTTCTGTTTCTGTAAATAATCCACTTTCAGAGCTCCCACTGTGTGGCCTCTCATGTGCTTCTTATTAAGTTATCTACCTCCAGGGTCTAAAAATCAAAGTGATTTGTCTCTGTGTTGAGAAATGAATACTTAACCGCTAGAGGCAAACATTTTTTTGCTAAATTATGCTTTTTCTCATTCTTTCTTTTGGTCCAGGTGAGGAAAGCTGTGACTGCAGTTGTTGGTGATTGGCTGTTGCACATGAGAGACCGATACTCTTATTTCCACAAACTTATCCCACTCCTGCTGAGCAACATCAACGATGAGATCCCAGAAATAAGGTTGATAAGTGGACAATGTCGTTATTTATATTATGTTTCCTTCAACATTAAAATCAGCTTATATAGTATGTGTTATTATTCTATTACATTCTATTATGAAGCAAAGACTAAAGATCTACAAACTATGATTGAATAACAGTGTGTAATAATGAGGACACTGTTATCTATCATGTTTTTACTCCCTCCTTCAGACTTCTAGCAGCTGATTTATGGAGGCAGGTAGGCACACAGTGGGAGAAGGAGAATAAGGACGACATCAAGGACAAGATGGACTTCCTTCTCACTCCACCTCCACACTACCCACCAGGAGGTCAGTCACTGACAGCTCTGCCATTTTTAATTAAGATACAAGCCGATTAGATTAATAGAAGAACTCCAAACTCAATACAGTGAATGATGAAAAACTATAGGCATCAGAAGCGGCCCACATTTTACACTGACATATTCATGGTATTCTAGAAGTTCTTATTTTTTAGTCTATAGATATTTATCGCTGGGTAAGACTTACTTATTCTCAACGTCTGGATTTGTCCATATAAACTCTGTGAATGGCTGGGAACAACACAATACATCAGACTTTGCTCCATGTAGGTGGAAGGGCAGGCGGATTAGGCAGCTGTGAGTTTACCTCCTTATCTAAACTCAAAGCCCTTAAAGTTGGCTGCATGTTTCTTGAACTGCACATCAGTGTAATGCTTAATGTAATAACTAGACCTCACTGCATTAAATCTTATCTCTTTATTACAGCTGTCTGTAGTTATAACATACAGTAAAAAATGATGCTGTCTATGACAGCTTTGTTGTCGGGGCAGGCACTGGCTTGGAAAGATAAGTGTCTGCCTCAGGGCCAGGAATGAGTGTGAACCTGAACATGGTCATCCACAGTTTGCCTATAGGGCCAGGGTAAGTGTGTGTGTGTGTGTGTGTGCAGGTGTGTGTGTGTGTGTGTGTGTGAGTGAGTGTGTGAGTGTGTGAGTGTGTGAGTGTGTGAGTGTGTGAGTGTGTGTGTGTGGTACAGGTCCTAGGCTCTGCATTTGGATAAAAGCTCCTATACATGTCCCACAACTACACATGTGACAATACAGATGAATACTGTCTGTGCCTGGGGACAGGACAGGAAAGGAAATAGTCTCTCTAACTCTCTCCCTCTTTGTCTTTTTTCTTTCTTGCCATCATAAATCTGTCAGGCCTCCCAGTGTGAACAGGTCACAGTCAGACAGTGAGAGACGACCAGAAAGGGTCTTGTTTGGTCTTGTCCTGGTGTGTTTGTCTGATTTATCTCTTTCTTCCTTTAGCCCTCTCTTCCTTTCTCATTAGCATGCCTATAGGAGAAGGAGAATAAGGAGCTGGGGTAGAAAAAGAAGGAGGAATGGAATAAGAATTAATATATAGAAGCCTATTTAAGAATTAGTCCCTCGTGGGTAAATCTTAGTCATTGGAAGTTGTAGAAAACTTGATGAGCTGGAACTCAATCACCTGACATTTGGAAATATGCCAAACAGCGTTATTTATTCTTCAGATGGTTTATGGATTGCAACATTTCACAGTTCTCACACAAGATAAATAGACTACTTGTACACAATGCAGTGCAACCAGAAGATATGTCAAATTTTGAGTCACATTAGTCAAAAATAAAATGCTCACGAGCTGTATTTACATGACCATGTAGGCAGTTTTAATGAGGAACCCTACTTACCCTCCTGTTGATTGCTCAGTAAATCTAGAAAACAAAGTAAAATATAAACTGAAGGTTCAGTAGATGAGGCAGACTGTGAGGAAGTGAGTTCTTCAAAAAACATGCATGTTTTGTTTTCTCCTCCAGTGGAGCGTCCAGGGCTGGGCTGCAGAGAGCTGGTGGTGAGAAACCTGGGGAGGCTGGTTCCAGCCATTACCCATGATGTGACTGACTGGCTGGTGCCGACCCGGGTCAGAACCTCTCAGCTTCTGTCTGTGCTGCTGCTCCACGCCGAGGACCACAGCACCCAGCACCTGCAGCCTCTCCTGGCCACCCTGTACCGGGCCTGCACTGACACAGAGAGAGACGTGGTCAGCAGTGTGAGTTCCAGAGAGCTAGAGGAATGATCACATTGCATTTTCTATTTTTGTATCAGAACCTCTGCACAGATTCAGTAGTATAGAGCTCTTTTGTGATATTTTAATTATTTCTAGATGAAGTGATTTCAAGGCACATCTGTTTAGTCAGCACTTTTAGTTCCATGTCAGTCTATCCACTGTCCCTCATTTAGACTGGGCCAAGCAGAGCTCAAGGACTTGGGATGCACCTGTTTACATTTGAGGACTGTACAGATCTTTGATGTGCGACAAATTAAAAAAGGACTTCCTGTCCTCCCATCCTCTTTCACGCTCCCTCCTGTGTCTGTCTCGTCACTCTCTTCCTCTCCGTATCAACCATCAGTGCCTGGCAGCTGCTAAACTGTTGGGAACCTTTGTTCCTCCGACCGTCTTCCTGAAGCTGCTGCTGGAACATGTGGCCTCCCCGTCCTCCTCCTCGCACCCCTGGGCCCCCCTCATGGTGCTGGCTGCGGTGCTGGGAGGCTGCTCTGGACCACTCCTCAAACCACATCTCCAACAGATCGCCAACACTCTAGTCCAGCCTGACGTCTGCCAGGAATATCAACAGGTCAGCAGAGGGAAGCTTGGGTTTGGTTGTGGTTAACCTGTTTTTAACTCGCATATTTACCTGAGAATGACTGTTCTTCCAGTAATGCTACCTACCTCAATCACACCCACTATAAACACATCCTCCTGCTGTTGTGAACTGAGTAGCTTCAGTGTAGTGGCAGCACCTACGGGGTTTATTGTGAAGTTATTTGATATATTAAATCATTAAACTCAGACGTGTTTTGCTGACAGCTTGCCAGCTTTTCTCTGCCCTCAAGGGATGCCATGTCTTGTTTGTGCCCCCACATCTGTGTGCATCAGCTGTTTCCTTCAAGTCTTGTTAGGTGATCTTGGCAGGATCATAGAGGGTCAGTTTCTACTTTCTCTATGTACCTTAGCACTCTTATTTTTGGCAGCAACAGTGCAGCTGTCATACCGTATATTTCTTGCCTAATTTGTCCCTTATGGAAAAGGTTTCGCGATAAGGTGCCACATCTCTTAAAAATGCTCTAGCTGACGAGCGTTTTCAATAGCACTACTGTACATGGTGAGTTCAGTGGGTTCGCTGTTAAGTAATTCTCCAAGATGCCAACCCTGCTAAAGTGACAGTCAGGCCACATGGTGTTTTTAAAATCTAACATTTCAAGTCTTTGATCAAACCTCTGCTCACACGCAACTTTGAAACATGCTCCTGCAATGTTGCACATCTCTGTTTTTTTTTTTACATAACTGAAAAAAAATTATTAAAAATGCCTTTGGAGTTTCTCTGTAAATAACATTCTGCCAGTGGAAAAATCCCACCAAGTCCAGAGCAGTCGCCTCCATGCTGCTTTTCTGCTTTCACCAAATATGTTTCCCTCTCAGAATCAAAATAAGTTGTCTGGCAGGGAGCTATTTTCTGATCCTGCTGCACCACCTATACCCATGACCCCATCCCCCTCTCACAGTGGCCGGCAAGAATTTCCTCCCTGAGATAATAATAACAAAAATTCACTAATTTCACGTGACCCCTACATGGCTGCTCCGACCCCTCGGAGCAGACAAGGCAGCACATAGGCTTTGTTTTCTTTTATAGCCATGTGTAAGGTCTTAGCACCGGACTCTGGTTCAGCCATGCCATTAAAAGAATCCCTGAAATTTCAAAGCCTGCCTGGTCAAGGCCGGTGATAAATGGAGAGGAAGACCGACCTCTCCATGCCCTCCTCCGTCCGATCCAGTGGGGTCAACCAGAGAGAGAATTAACCGGACGAGACAGGCGCATGCTGTCACACAGATGCAAGCAGACCTCTGCTTCCTTTCTGTCTGTTTCTCCATCTATCTTCTTCTGTCATTCTCTCTCTCTCTGTTTCTGGGGCAAAGCAAAGACCATTGTAATTCAAGAGCTCGCCCAGACAAAGCACCTGCAACATTCTTTGATAACCAGCAGAATTCATAGCAGGGAGAAGGACTAGATCACTGTGTTGAGACCACAGCGTCCAGAATGCCGTCTTTTTTTCTTATGGTGAAATCCTGACCCAGAGTGTCTTCATATTGTTCGTATTCGACTGACCAGCTTGTGTTTGATATTGGTTTATTTACCTGCGGACAGAATTACAACATGCAAATAGCTGACTCACTGTTTTGTTTAATTTTACTTTTAATACAACTAAGGCATATTAAGGCGATATGAAAAATACATGTGTTTGGATCCAGTTTCAGAGGAAGTTGAGAAAAGGTGAAGTTTGACTTGGACAAAATGAAGCGTGTTAAGAAATGAAATATAAATAAGCTTCAAAGTGAACAGAGGCAGGGTGAACTGCGAGGCTTTGTGGGGAGCTGAAGATTTTAAAGCTGATATTTGATGTTTCTGTGCAGCCTCTCAGACTCTTTCAACTCTGTTTTCTTTTCTTTATTCCAGTAGGGGGAAAAGGACAGCTTACAAAAATACATGGCAGATGCTTAGCAAAAAATAAAAACACTGACCCTAAATTGAAGGCGATGTAAAGAAATTGAGAGAAAATGAAAAGCGAGCCTGTGGTTAAAGAAGCCACCGTGTTCTGAGGTAGCATGTGTGATTTATATGGGGTATCTGCTCATGAATCACATATGGGTTTCTTTTTAAAAGTGGTATTCCACAGAGATTTGACAAACGCCGACCATCACACACACACCTTACGCAGCAGAGTATGGCTGTCTTATGTTGCCACAGTGGAAGAGGCATCCCTGTATAATCGGAGTGAATAGGTAAACACAGTAAGAGAGGGGAGGCTCTGTGAATTAGTGGGCATATTTAGGCATATCAACAGTTAAGCTGTCTTGGTGAAACTCTGTAAAAAGTGTCACAGATCAACAGGAGGGTGGTTAGAAAAAAAAAAAAGGTTGTCTTTTCATTTAGTCTGTGCATGGGGATGTTTCACACTGTCACAACATGAAGGGTTTTTCCTGAATATGCTAACATACCAGCATGCATCAGCGCATCTTCCAGCGTGCCTGCTTGTCCACCCTTTGTCCTGAATGACTGCTAAATACTGCTCCACTGAAAAACAGAAGAAGAGAAAAAAGGCAGGAGAGACAGCTTCACCTGACTGCCGGGGGTCGGCATAACATCCACTCCCAGCGTTTGTTTTCCTGTTGCCATAGCAGTATCAGTAGCTGTGGGGGGGTGGGCTCCCCACTAGGTAGGAATCCATCGCCTGGTATGGCTGCCTAAAGAAGAGTTGTGTAGGTGTAGCTGATGTATCCAGCAGTGGACAGATGCACACACGCTGTGTAATGAGGGCCCTGGAGTGTGCCCAGGCCGATGAAACCAGGTGTATCTCGCCTGACTCCAGGTGTCCACCTAGTCATTACATCGCACCACTTTTTCCGCTCTCAATCTTTCTCGCTCTCGGCCAGCCCTAATGGTTGTTTTCTGCGCATGTATAATATGCATGTCTGTATGTGTATACAGTAATGCATGTGTCTGCCACTGTTTGTCACGTTATTTCCACTGCTGCTTCCTGCTGTGGCCGGGATTCTCCCCATCGGTGACAAGTCATTCAAACACCAGTGCAGTTTGTTAAGCTGCTGGTCAAGTCTAGTCACCTGAAGAGCTCAGAGCTGCATGGAAGTTTAGTGTAGCTTCACACTGCCTCGGGATAAAAAAAACTATTTACCAACACCCTGAAATCAATGCACAGCCAAGCTTTACTCTAGTGTGTGCGCAAGACTCTGCTGCAAATTAAAACATTTGCTTGTGCAGACTGGAGGTACTGTAGCTCCTCTACTTCCTCACAGCTCCTTGTATTTTAATGCTGTGAGCATCTTAACACTTGTTTCCTCCCAGACAGATGCCAAGCAGTGCTGTACAACAGCAGCTTATATTTGACATAAGATAGTGCTCCCCCTAGTGATTGGGCTCCGGTATCTGCCAAATCAAGCAGAGAAAGTGGCCTCATGTTTTGAGTGTTAGAGGCTGAATTAAGTATTTCTTTCTCGTCAGGACTCCAACTGCTCATCAAAAGACCAAACACCTGGAGGGAGCTTTGCCTCTCAGCCCTCCTCACAGAAAAACACTCTCAAACACACTCACTGCTCCCAACCCCCCCATGAAGCCCTAATGACAGGCGGCGTGAAAACAGGAAAAGAGGCCGTGATCCCAGTGATGGCATGGAAATTAGCCTGAGCTGCAGGTCTTTGTCTAAACATGAGCTCACCACAACGCTGGCTGACAAGTGACAGCAATCACACAGGCTCATGCTTGGAGATGGAAAAAATGTTAGTCAGTATCTTCATCATTCAGCTGCTATTTGTTTGAAATAGGACAAGTGAGCATTTAGTTATTTTAGCAGCATCACCTCTTAGAATTTAGATGAAGGAGAAAGTGGAAAGGGAAAGGAAGAGGCTGTGAGGACTGAAATAGGGTTCTGCAATAGCGATGCAGAAAATTTAAGCAGAATTACAAGATCTCACAGCAAAGAAAACATCCAAGACGATGTTTTAATAATTCTTCCTTACTCGCTCTTTTCCAGGTTATGTACTTGGAGCAGTTGTCGGCGTGTGTGGAAATGCTGCTGCATCAGTGTGAGTCGGACTGTGGCTCAGTCAGCCTGCAGCTGCTGCAGGTGCTGGTCACTGTTCAGAGTCTCTCCACCGAGCCAACGCTCAGCCAAAAGGTGAGAAAACTCAGCGGTATGAAGGTACAGTTCCAGATGTGTTCTTTCTGCTGCTCTGCCATCGCTTTGTTCCACACGAGCAAACCAGCACACTGTCTTACCTCCGCAATGCTTAGTTTTACTATGATATGGCCTTTTTTCTCTTCGCTTTTCTTTTTACATCCTTCTTTACTAGAAAGGTGACCGTGTTTTATGATGCAAGAGAGATATTCAAGGAATGTAAGCATTTGCACTGGTTCAAAGTGGGCATGGCCAACAGTATAATTACCCACTTAGCCAGGGGAGCTGAAATTGCACCTTTGGAGTAAAACTTTAAATCCAGTCTTGGGTGAAAGGAGGCGGGTGAAAGAGAGAGATGGAAAGAAATGGAGAAAAAAAAAAACAGATGGGGAGGGATGAGTTGGGTTTCGTCATAGTTCTGTGTAATCGGTCCAGCACCACTTGGTTCCACGAAGCCCCCTGAGCTCACAAAAGCCAGCTCACTCGCAGGTAACAAGTTCTCGTCCTGTGGTCACCCTCCAAATGCAGGCGGCAAACAGGAACAGTGACAAGTGAAGCCAATGGTAACTGAGGTCAACATGTCATCTAAGTGCATGTCGCCGTAGTACACTAATGACAGAGCGAGGAGCGGGAAGGCTTTGGCGCAGATTTCTACTAGACACCACACGGGCCACCAGTGTGACTGTGTGTTTATGTCTGTCTGCATTGGTGTATATGTTCACACAGGGAGCAATATTAGAGAAGAGATGGGAAGGGATGGATTAGGAAAGAGAGGGAGGGTGAGAATGGCCTTGGGCATTCCCGGACCCAGAGGAAAAGAAGAACTTGTTTTCCCAGAAAAGGGGAATGTCTTTCCCATCAATGGACAGCTCAGGGTTGTCTAGTCGTCTTCTGAAGGGCCGATCTGTGACTCAGACAATGTCTCTGTCCCTGTGCGTCCCTATGGGACTATGAAGGGAACTATGAAGTGCCCTGAAGGTCAATTCCCCTGCCCCAAGAAGTCAGCTAATTATTTACTATCCTATCTCTCATTCCTGCCTTTTCCTCTTAGCTCAACTTTATTGATGTGTGTCTGTGTGTGTCTGTGTATGTGTGTGTGTTGTTTCTGACGGTTCCTGTGCCTTTGTGACATCCTGTGTATCTGAGTTTTTGTTTCTGAGTGGTTTTATGTGTGAGACCTTGTCGTGGCTACTGTGTTGTTCTTCCCATGGTCTCACATGATGCTTTGTGCCTCCCATACGAGCAAGACATGACGAATTCCTGCAATTATAGAAAACAGCAGCTGTTAATCTTTTTTTTTTCTCTTCTTTGTTTCGCCTTTCTCCTTCCTAATGTTCTCGATCTCCTTTTTTAAAGTAAACTTTGCTGCTTCAGAATGTGTTGACGTCCGTTTTGTTCCACCTATCATTCTCTCCCCCAGGCCTTGGAGACTGTACAGCTCTTGTGTAAGGTGCAGGGCCTGGACTCAGTGATGGAGCTCTATAGACAGCATATGGGCCAGCTGCTGGACTGGCTGTCCACCTCTGTCAACACCTGGTCCAGTTACTCCCCACAGAGACTCCAACTGCATATCATAATCATTCAATCAGGTGAGACCTGAAGCCTGTATTTCAACAAGACATTGCCAAATTTTAATGCAGGTGCTGAAGTTTGAATGTATAGATGACAATGGTAAAACAAACAAAACAAACCAAAACAATAATAATAAGAAGAAATACAGTATTTGGTTTTGAAAAAATCAGTTTGTCAATTCATAATGTCTGAACAAGCTCTTTGGCTCAATTTCTTCCCAGTAGGTTGGTGATCCATGTAATGTTTTATTTGTTTAAAATTACTTCATGTAGTGGTTTGTTCAGAAATGATATGTTACAGAAAAAATCAGCAGCACTGGATCTCTCTGGCACAAATTATACAAATACTCTAGTGAAGGCTTTTTAATGAGTCTGGTCTTATGATTGTTCTTCACCTGCACTCAGAAAAGTAGCTAAAGGCATCTACCACCTGGTAGATGTGTTAGCATTGCTCCTTTCTTTATTTTCACATAGTCCCACAATGCTCCTGGCATAAACTGCAGAATTATGGGTCTGTGCTGGTCAGAGTAACTGTCAACAGCATCCCTGGTGATGGATGTGAGGGCTGTCAAATTGCCAAATGTATAAGATAAAAACTTACATGATTTATTACTTGACAGCCGCCCAAGGCAGTGTGTACAGTGTCATTGTGCAAGCCCAATAACCATCACTCACAGGCCTCGGAGGCCTTCAAACCCTGTAGAGGACCTTGCTGTTACCCAAACAGAGAGGCTCATGGTCAAACAAAAAAGTCGGGCTGCCATTAGCACCAGTTGGCTTGCTGACTTTTTTAAATCCTTGTCTCTTCTTCTGTTTGTCCGTCAAGCTGTGTGTCTTAGACTTGTCTAAAGCACTTAGTCCAACACTGGTGTGTGTGTGTGGCGTAGAAGGTCAGAAAGCTGTGACCCTTGGTTTGGTTCTGAGACTCCACTTCCCCCCCCCCATGCTATATAATCCTCCATCATCACCACCTCCATGTACCACGCTTTCATCTCCATCTCCTTTTCCCTCCCTCTCCTCTCTTTCTAATTGACTGGGCAGCTGGGTAGCATTCTAATCCTCTCTCTCTCTCTCTCTGTCTCTCTCTGTCTCTCTCTCTCTCTCTCACACACACACACACACACACACACACACATCTTACTGACCAGTCCATTCAGTCCACTCAGTGATCCCTTTGCAGGTCACTACATCAAACAGCAGCAAAGCTCCCTGCTCTTGACCTTCTCTCGGATCAAGGCCACTTTGAAGCTCAGTGTGTGTGTGTGTGTGTGTGCGTGTGTGTGTGTGCGTGTGTGTGCGTGTGTGTGTGTGTTTTATTTGCACATGTTGAATGCTGCTTTAAGCCTCCCGACGTTTTTAACACAACCCAAGGACTTTCCTACAGGCAGCAGAACAGACAGCGTGTGTTTGATGCGACGGTGATTAAGGGGAATCAGTCTTCCTCTAGACAATTGACGGCAGTTAATATGGCAACTGAGAATTAGTCATTTGTCTGCTCATCAGCTCTTTACCGGAGACAGTAAGAATAATTTCCCTCCCGTGTCCTCCACACAGTCTTTTGTTCTTTGTCGGGTGTCAGAATGTCTGATTGTAGATATTTTTATTTGTCTTTCCCGTTATCTACAGCCGGTTCTAGTGCCTTGCTCAAGGACAAGATGCATGCTGACTCTCTCTGTAAACAGTAATGAGAGTTTGTGTATTGAAATCTACTATTGCTGCCTTGATCACCTGCAGACGTTTCCTAAACAACTCTGGCTAAATGACACGTACTTTTATACCTGCATTGCTATTGGATGAAAGGTCTCTCTCTCTGTTTTTCCATATTTTTTATGACGCTGGTTGACATCCTCGGGCAGTCGCAGGATTTCCTCTGTCTCCTCTCGTGTCTGCACAATTCGGTCCAAACACTTATCACCCATTACTCACACCCAGATCACTATATATGCCTCTGTAAACATGAAGTCAGACCGTTGGTGGGTAAGTGTGTGGGCATGAGTGTAACTGGGAATATTTGCACTGTGAGTTTCTCATTTTCCTGTAAAAGGCATTTGAATAGAAACGCTCTGTCACACAAAGATCTTTTTACATCTCATTTCCTCTGCACTATGTGTCACTGTCTCACCAGGCCACTGAGATCTTAATAACACAAGCACTCTGGTCAGCGCTGAACAAAAAGGTCTCAAGAGTGTGAAGATTTTGTCAAAGATTTTTTTTTGCTTTTTTGATGTTTGGTCCTGGCAAAGAACTGTTGAGAAAATTTACAAATGCATATGTCTTATCTCTGTTAACACACTATTGCTTTCAGGGACAGGTAGAATTTATCAGTTACATAAAAATAAAAAATAAAAATTTTTAAAAACCCAGAAAGACAGAATAAGTTTGAGTTATGTGACTGTTGATGGAATCCTGGTTCCACCTCTGCTGAAGTGACATGTAGCGCCCTGTTTTCATGGCGGCACAACACTGAGAGTAAACACACCAACCATGCTGTCTGTGATTCCAGCTGTAATTTCCTTGACCTTTAAATTATTGTCGCGCATCTGTGTGGTAATTTCAGTGCCTCTAGCAGATTGCAGACTGGATGGTGTACAGGTGCACTAACAGGTGGGAGTCACATTCAAATAAGGCAAAATCCAAAGCTACATTCATTTCAATAATACCATCATCAAATTGCAATTGACGGAGTGTCCAGTGGCCTAGTAGTTAAGATAGATGCAGCATCTCCAATTGTTCCCTCTTCTTTTTCTCTTCATTCATGGTGTCCAGCAAAACTAGTTGAACTAACGTCCTTTATGTGTGCTTGTCCTCGTGTGTGTTGTAGGTCCAGTGATTGGGGAGTTTTTGAGCCAGCTGATGCCTCTTCTCTGTAGCTGCCTCCAACCAAACAGAGACCCAGAAATGAGAATGAGCATCTTCACAATGTTTGCCAAATTGCTGCTGGATGCAAGCAACACACTGGACTCCCGAGGGTGAGAGACACACATGTGCACATGCTAACAGTGACACCGTCTTGTGCATTTTAAGCTGAACAAAGAAACGCACAGTGTTGAAGCTGAATTCTGGTTTAGTTTTCCACCCATTCATCACTGCATGATGTTACACTGAGCTTCAGCCTCACTTCGTTCAGTAAGTTCGTCTAGTTTTCTTAGTAATCGTGAGCAGCACATTTTTAGGTTTCGCCCAACATTGACTTTGCACCATAATTAGCACAGTGACCATAATTAGACACGCACACTCTAAAACCAACAAACTGTCTTTCAGGTCATTATGATCTTATTATCTTATTTGGGACTTTGACCATCAGCGTTATATCCAGATGCGAAGCCGTCAGTGGTACTCTAGAAGTGATAAATCACATTCCATGATCACTGCACAGTTAGTGAGGATTTGAGTTCAGATGATCTCTTAGGGAGTATCAGATAGACCAGCTTGGATTAGTTAATAACTTCCCAGCTTGCCAGAAGAAGAAGATGGCACATGCTGTCTGAGAACCTTTCATCAGTAATTTGGATGGTTATTGACAGATGAAGGTGCTAGGATAGCAGGGATGACTGACTCCCCCTGCCAGCACCCGCCCTGCAGGGTCCCACCGAGCCCTCAGCTGTGCAGCCTTCAGCCTGGGCTCAGAGCCCCAATCTGAGGGAATGCATTAAACCTGAGGCCCTCTCTGGGTCCCCAGCGATCACAGCAGCTGCTCCTGTCGATCAGAAAGACAAACTGTGTCTGTGGTGTTGCCATGGGGACATCTGTGCAGTGTGTAACTAACCCTAGCTGCAGCCAAAGCTTTGTGTGGGTCAGTAGGTATTTCCATTTGTTAATAGCAGGAACAAACTGGTAATCTTTGTACGGGAACACACTGAAAGTACCTTTGGCTTAAATCACTAAAACCGTATATCCAAGACAAAATAATGTCCTTGTCAGTGAAATGTGTTGCATAAACAGGAAGTGAGCCAGAATTTTCTGCCACCTTTGCCAAAAATGTGGAAGTTAGAAATTCTGCTTTCATCATTTTTTTTTTGTTGTTGTCCATAAACGTGCATATTAGACAAAAGAATCTCTGTCTGTTCCAAACCCCAAATGTGGCCACCTGTGCTGCTAACTGGTTTCTCATTCCAGAGCTGTATCTGCGGTAATCACAGAACCACGAGGAGACAGAAATCATGTTATACCTTCAGAAGGTTTCAAACAAATGCTTAAATCACACTATGTGGGGTTGTGCGGTCTGCCATGATATCTCCATTCACACTCATCTCATGCCTCCATTCATGATTCATGGTCTGATCTTTGCTCGGCGGATTGCAGGCCACACACACGCTATATGTCATCAGGAGGACAATGATAGTCATAGAGAAAACCTCTTTTCTTTGTTCTGCGACCAAAATGACATAATGACAGCTCCACTATAGAACAAGCAGAAAGGGAAAGTTTGTGTACATGTAAGTGCCTTTCATCCACACACACGCTGATAATGTTTTTGTTTCATGTGGATTTGTGTGCTATGATTAAAAAGCTGGATGTGAAACCTAAGTAGAAGGTGAAGTGTAAGAAATGAAAGTTTATACTTTTTTTTTCCCCCACTGGATGTGGCGGGCCAAAATCATGCGCCACTTGCAGGGGAGACGTGTGCTTTCATGCAAGTACGAACAGTAAGAGACACATCTTAGGTCCTCATTTCAAGTTTCAAGACATTCGACAGGAAAAGTAATGAATAAGAAAGTAATGCTCAGAGGTCAGATGTTCCTCTTCTTCCCATGTAGTTTCCCTCCTGTCAGGAATTATCTATCAGTAATACTAATAATAGCAATAATCCATCCATCCATCATCTATACACCGCTTACTCGGGTCGTGGGGGGGCTGGAGTCTATCCCAGCTGACTCAGGGTGAAGGCAGGGGACCACCTGGACAGGTAACCAGTCTATCACAGGGCTACACTTAGAGACAGACAACCAAGCACACTCACATTCACACCTACGGACAATTTACAATCACCAATTAACCTCAACATGTTTCTGGACTGTGGGAGGAAGCCGGAGAACCCGGAGAGAACCCACGCTGCACGGGGAGAACATGGAGACTCCACGCAGGAAGATCCCGGGTGTCCTCACCGGGATGCGAACTAGCGACCTTCTTGCTGCGAGGCCACGGTGCTAACCACCGCTCCACCTTGCAGCCCTAATAACAATATTAATGATAAGTAATGTGAAGCATGACAAAAGAAAGCAGATCTGATTTTTGTTTGTTAGATTAGGTTAAAGAAAAAAAGATCCCAGGACAATAATGATCATTATATGAATATTTTCAACATCAACATATCAGGATACGTCAGATTTTAGTGGGTTGCACAATTATTGAGATCACATTTTTTTATATGTGGTAACCTAATTCTTAGTTTTACTAACAGCTTGCTTAGAATCAGGTGTTTGAACAATAGGAACTTGTGCAACAACGTCACAATAAGTGCAATAGACAGTTTTGCTAAAATGTGTCTGCAGAGACATTTATTCTCTGCTTTGTGAACACAAACAGCTTCAGTGTGCACAGACCCATGAGGTGTACAGTCAGAATTCCCTGGCACTTGGTTTGTGTATTTGTGTGCATGAACATACAAGTAAAAGGTAAAATCCTACTCTTCTTTCCACTGGACATCATCCATGTAATACGGAAATATGTCTTTCCATCCGCTGGCTTCACTCATGATGAGCTGTCAACACTTGTCAAGATGAAGCAACTGGCTGCATTAGTGGCACACAGTCTCCCCCTACTGGCCCTGAAGTATCACAGCCCACTACATCATATACAGTACATGACAAGTTTATTGTGGCACCAGCTGTACAACCGAAGGCCCGAGGCACCTAAGAGTGAGTTTGCAGTAAAGCACAGTGCAGACTGGTAGATGTGGATGTCAGAGGGCCTAAGCCAGCGTGGAAAAGAGAGGGAGGAGAGGAAGGAGGATACCCAGATGTTGTAGTCGTTGCCTTCTGCTTTCCTCCACTGCCCCCACCCTCCCGCCTTGCGAACAGTGTGGGAAAATAACTGTATGATCGTATCGCCGTTGTGCTGCAGCAGTTCTGCTACATTCCCAACAGCAATCATCACTCACAGAATATATGATTGGCAAAAACATAAAGCAGGAAAAATTCCTTATTCTGTCTCCTTCATGTTCTGTGCATCATTCCAGGTGTTTCCGTGATGAGTCAGAGAAGTTTCTGTGCGACATCTTGCTTCCTAACCTGGTGTGGCACGCCGGCCGCACTGCTGCTGCCGTCCGCACCTCCGTCCTCAGCTGTGTGTTGGCCCTGCTGCATGGAGAGGCCATCACACCTGGACAGGTACACACACACACACACCGGCGCTGCAGAGATGACATCTGCTAATCGATCTGCCAGCACAGATGCACAGATAACACACAGACGTTTTAGTTTTTTTTTTCCATTGCCACTTTTGCTAAGGGACCCAAAAGGCCTGGAAGCAAACACCGGATGTGAGCCCCCTCCAGCAGTGTGTCCTTTTAATCTCCAATCTGCAGGAACACTTTTTTATTGACTCAGCTGTGAAGGAAAAGATGTGGTAGTGCATTCTTGCAATCCATCAGGGTTTGACATTTACTTGAAATTCTCTGTTTTGTCCATTTCACATCAAAATAGACGGTCCCACTTGGCCTTTTAGGAAAATAAATTGTCCGCCATCTTTCTCTCCTTGGCTGAATGAGTTGGCCACAGCAGGTAGCAGGTGTACGCAGGGGCAACCGAGTTCACATACCTTTGTCCCTGAGGAACAATGCTTCCACTGTTCTGGGCCCTTGTTATATGTAGGAACTATCACCGGAACATGCCCTTGCACCTGCCTGTCAGAGCATGTGCCGAGTTACAGTATGTGTGCGCACACACGCACATCTGGCTGCGTTTGCCCTCGCGTGTGCTGAGTGACCAGTTGAAACTGGCTCACGCACCTTCTCTATTCACACATCTTCAAGTACAAGGCTGTGCAAACATCTGGGGGGCAATGTGAACATGGGTGTGGGTGTGTGGGTGTAGGTGTGTGTGAGCAAACTTCTTCTATCTAATGTCACCCAAACGTCCTCACAAGAATAGAGAACCTGGAACAGGGCGACCGCAATGCTTTGAAAGTTTGGGTTTGAAGATGAGTTGAGATGAGATAAACAACATGTCCTGACAGATGTAACAATAGAAAGTTATGTGTGTGTTTCCACAGGCACGTCAAACAGCCTTTCATTTAGAAGGACATTGTTTCCTCACTACTCCCTGTGAAAACAATTAGCAGCTCCAGTTACACTTGGCACCCTCAGATTGACACTGATGTAATGCCGGATCACTGCTCTGCCAAATTTTCCTCCTCTTTTTGTCTCCTTCCCTCCCTCTCCCCTCGCTCCGTTTTTTATTGTTTCTCTTGCACGGTTTCGATAGCAAACAGACAGCGTGACAGAGGTTTTAGCCATCGCCTCTTGGCCTTTGGCTTAGCATTCCAGCCTCACCTTGTTTGTCCATTACCTCCGTTTCTCATCTGTTGGTGGGATGAAAACATCAGTCCTCACTGGACTTCAGAAGTTGGGCTTCATGTCTGCGTTACTGTACAAACTGATCCAAACCTGTGTCTGTCATACTTAGGGTGTTATTTCACTCAGACAATTTAAGCAAATAAAAGCCTTCTTACCTTCTTTAAGCTATTAGTGATGCTGACTTCAGTGTTTGGAAGCAGTCACTCTAGTAGGCTGCAGGTTCATAACCCCTAAATGAAACACTTAGAAACTAAACTTCACACAAACACACGTTTTAATGTGTAAACTACAGACAAAGTCACTTAGTGGGCTTGAATTGTTTTATGCAGACAGACTTTGAGCTTACAAGGTCTGGCTTCTGGCTTTTCTGTGTGCAGCTGCTCTGTCTGGAGGAGAAGCTGAGTCCCCAGGTGCTGTCGTCCCTGGATGAGGACTCGCAGATGAGTCGAATGTTAGCTTGCCGCTCTCTTTGTGCCATACTCAGACTTGTAGGAACCAGTTTGAGCCATGAGGCACTCAACAAGATTTACCCCGGTAAGTGGCAAACACTCATTTGCAAATCATTGCCACCTAAATGTGTGTGTATATAAAAAATATTACATGCTTTGCAGTTAGTTTTGTATATTTGCAAACCAGTTTGTGTACCTGACTTAATCAAAGAACAGCAGATCCACTGAACAGGAAAACTGCCCTGTAATGCTTTGCGTGCTTTCTTCCCTCCACAGAGCTGCTGAAGCGTCTGGACGACAGCAGCGAGGAGGTGCGCAGCGTTGCTCTGCAGGCTCTGAGTCTGTGGCTGTCCAGCCTCACCAAAGACTACAGCCTTGATTTCTGCACTCCTCACCTGCAGCTCCTCTTTCAGCAGCTCCTCCTGCACCTGGACGACCCCGACAGCTCAGTACAGGACCGAGTGCTCGGTGAGACTGTGTGTGGCGAGTTTGTACGGTTTCAAAGACGAGGACAGAAAGTTGATAGGTGGTGATAGGTAAACGGCAGGATGCACACGTCTGTGTTCAGGTCAAAAATGAATAATTTGTCTGGGTTTCAGAAAAGTGGACAAAAATATCTCTTTTTAAATATTTACGTTTTAGAGTCCTCACATAACCGTAACTCTGGACAGCACATCGAAGACTTTTCTGTAGTTGGCCTTCAATTCATTGTTTGTTTTGTTTTCTGTTGGAAGCTAGCAGTCTTTAGTAGCACCTCCTGATAAGATCAGTCGCAGACTACTCTATATGACTTCAAATGATGTGAGATGGGCCTTAAATGATATTCTGAGAAGCACAGTCTGCTGATAATCATGATGGTGAATGTGAGGCTGTGATGCTCAGCAGATCAGCCTGCTGTGTCTGAGACACTCACAGAGGGATGAGAGGAATTTGGAGTGTCCTCTATCAAAGATTATTCTACTGGCCCGCTGCCAACAGACCCTCCTCTCCCTTATTTCAAAAGCTCCCCATTGTCCTTCTTTTCCACACAATTTATCACCAAGAGCAGCGTGAACAATTTCCCCTGCCAGAGTACTTTAGGCCTGCTGAGGGCTGGGCTGGTGGTGGGCTTCAGCAGTGAAATACAAGATCCAGACATGGATAAGCACCCACCTGAAGAGCAGTTTGGTGGGTTAATACGTGAAGCCTCTTATCTGTAGAACTCCACACAGACACCAGGTGTAGACTGGACTGTGTGTGGCAAATCACCGGCTTCTCTCTCCACAACCGTCCCACCTAACGACAACCACATGAGGACCGTCTTCCTGCCCGTCCGGCTTAATCCCTCTGTCTTTTATCTGTCAGTCGGTCTTCCTCCTCTCATGCTCTCTGTTTTCTGCGACAGCCTGCAGCTTCACGGTTGTGTTTTATTGATGTATCAGTGGAAAGTCTGAGCGGCTTTTCCTGAACTGCGTAACCAAGGCAACGCTCCTCTGGACTTTCACTGGCTCCCACTCACATGGATGTTAGCTGTCATTACTTCTGACAGGACGCAGGTGAGCGCTGATGCTTTAGCCAGTGTTGAGAGGCCTCACTGCAGGATCGCTCATCTTCAGAGGGACAAAGAGAGAGAACACATTCTCACACTCACCAGATGCAGCAATAGATTCCATACCATGAGTTCTAGCACGCTAGCTCTTGAAGGACTTACAAAGACAATAAGTAGTTTTATTGTTGCTTATCAAGTGTCTGGAGACCTTGACTGCAGAACACGGATATGTAAATTAGCATAATGAATGGCCAGATACTCTTTGTGTGGTAGAAAACACTCTTTTTAAATACTTTCTTATTGTCTCAACCCATCCTGGACACTTGATGATGGGCTTAGCCAAACCAAACTCCTAAGAATAAATCTGGGGATATTCTATTTTTTGTCTTATTGTCAGCAAATCCATGAAAAGCTCAACGCCAGCCTTGGATTGATTTTGCCAACAATTATTATCTGGGCCTGGTATGTCTTATTCCTCGGTGCCAGAAAGCTCCGTTGATGTCCAGAAACGATCAAAAACCCATAAATGAGCCGCGCCGTTGCACCGGGTGATATGTTCCTTCATTTTCCATGACTGTGAGCCCTTTCTTTATCTTGAGTTAATCCCACATCCTCAGTGCTGCTGCCATAAATACTCACTAGAGCACCAAAAGGAACAGTCGAAAATAGCCGCAACAAAGGCACAACGTAATCCTGTTTGGGTAACTTTTGGGAACATCAACCTGTTTTACAAAAATATGATTGCTTACCTGTTATAAAAAATGAAACAAGGTGGACTTGGTGCCTCTGGGCTTTGGGCTGGGAGTCCTAGATGTAGAAGAAATGACTGAGAGATCTATCGTCAGTTTTGGTCTTTTCATGGGATTTTTGGACAGTAACTAATAATTGAATACCACTAACCCCGTGCTTGACACATTATTGGCTGTTGCCAGGCTAACACACTGTTATTAACCATACCTTCGGTGTTTTCATATCTAGTTATTTATCTAATTCAGTTATTTGAACTGTCCAAGCGGATGCTTGATGAGGCAGGGTAATTGATTTCAGTGAATGAAGAGCATCATGCCAGCACATCTGCCCCGTACAGTTTCAGTGAATGTGCCAGTGTGCACAGCCAGGTTCTTCAAACTGTGATCCTCTGGAAGTACCCCAGATTCTTGGACAGCTTGGAGTCTCTTTGTGAAACGCGATGGCTTCACGTCTTGCTGAGTGATCGTCTGTATCTAACAGCACCCATAACCGCCTGTGCCCCAAATCTGGAAGCATTCTTCTCTCATGCACGGCTCTGTTTGAAGCTTTCTTCTTCCCTTTCTTCTTCTCTGTCTCTTTCTACTTGTTCCTTTAATAGTTGATCCCATTCTTATGCTTCTTGTATTTCAAACGCATATCTGTGAAGTGGCTTGATGTCTGCAGCATGTCCTGACAGAATGATGGACAACGCTGCCATGCCCTCCCTCTCCTCCCTGTTGGCATGAGTATAACTCACTTCTCACAAGCCATCATTGTTCTCTTTTAATTCAAAGTCCCACCTCCCTTCATCCATCCCAGCTGAGTACAGTATACACAAAAGCTAAAAATCCCCTCAATCTCCTTGAAGAACAAAGGCGGGTATCAAATGATGAGTTTACATGAGCTAACTCATCCGGAGTGATGGCGTGCCACCACCGGGGCAGCGCTTTAGCGTCGTCGTTTCTGAAGCATTTGCACATTGACAGCAATTGAAGTAATTCAATACACCTCTGAAGTTCAGCAGATAATGTGGGAACAATGGGAGGTGAGACATTTGAACGGTGGCTGATCGCCTCCCAGTGGAAGGACAGGGAACCTGCACATGTTTGAGCTGCAGAGTGAAGATACTGTAGTTCATCACTGCCATCTGCTGGTGGGATGACTGCTTTAACTTTGGTAAGACTTCAAGCAGCTGACTGAGGATCGAACAGAAGGTACCTGTTGGCACAAAGCAGGGATGGCTGTAAAAAAAAAAAACATCAGAAATGTTCCTGGTTTCTGAAATGTCACCAAGAACTGGCAGTTACATGAAACTGTGGAAGTCATGACAAACGCTGGAAAACCGAGAACATTTTCAGATAAAGCTGCGCATCTTTAAAAAAAAGCAAAACAAGGCTTGAAGACACTGGGCTGCTCTGAGACCGGGAGTCTAGCAGTCCTCAGAAGAAAGCCTTACCTGCATCTTCGTCACAAAAGTCAGCATCTGGATCAGCTAGAGCCATTTTGGAAACCAACGCCGCAGGAAGTTGAATGTCACATTGAGCTGTTTCTGTTTGGAGAGAAAATGGAGCAGAATTTTATTAAAAGAACACCTTGTCTGGAAATGTTCTGCTTTGGAACAACGTGGCACATAACAGAGAGAATTCTTCCAACTGTTATCAAATTGTGGTTGAAAGAGTCCAAAGGAGAAAGTCGTTGTTTCCACTTTCCTAGCTTATATGTGGAATGTTAAAATCCTACTTTTCCTCTGTGACTGATGTCATTCGCTCCAAGTCTTTGTTAAATCTACAGCAGCCCCACTGTGATTTAACAAGGTTTGGATGCACAGCACAAGTTTGTATGGAGCCGCTCACCAGGCAGACATAGCTACGTACAATTTAGTTGTTTACATATTGGTACTTTTAGATGTTAAAGTAAAATAAAATCCCTCTCTGGCCTTTAATTAAACCCCAAAGAACTCTCCTCTGTGTATCAGCGTTACATGTTTAGAAGTTATGTCCATGAAAACAACCTCCTCCTGCCTTACAATTGCTTAGATGTGACTTTGCACCATTACTTCCTCCATGAAGTCCCCCCACCTCACAACACCCACCCTTCTGCCGCTCACTGCAGCTGGAGCACACCAGCTCACCCACAGCTCTGCTCAAACACTGTACAACTGCTCTACTCTACACCATCCATCCATCCATCCATCCATCCATCCATCCATCTATCCATCCATACACCAGTTGTTGTAATTCAGTCGTACACGTTTGAACCGCTAATCCATTCAGAAGAAGAACAAGGGTGAATATTTGTATATGTCTCTCCTGCAGAATAATACTTTAGCATTGGATCAGCTGATTATGATGCAGCTTCACTTCAGTTATTTGTTCCATCAGACACAACATTTACTAATTTCAAGCTTTGTTGTTCATGCAAAGGGTTTATTTTTGGCACTGGATGTTCTTTCGTGCATCTTTCTTCTTTGTTCGATTTTTATCTTGTGCTGACCGTTGCCGTGTCTTTGGATTTGGTGTCTGTTTGTGTCCAGAAACCCTGAAGAAAGGCAGCTCGGTCCACCCGGCGCTTCTGAAGCAGGAAGTGGAGGCTGTGAGGGACAAACAGCGGAGTCCTCTGTACTGCGACCTGCTGCTCCAGCACATCAGCTCGCCACCCACAGAGACCGCAACAGGCTGACTCTTCAAATGTTTGCAGAGACTGATGATTGTGCCTTAACCGGAAGGACGTTCACTCTTTGTTCACCGATTTAGAAGCAGGTGGCAGAATTTAAATTCAGAGCAGGTGTTCTGTATTCATTCCTTTTCTTGTTCTCCTTTGGTTCTGATGTTTGGGTCTATTGAAAAATAATTTGTTTTACTGTGTCTTTACAGTGTTTGCATTGTTCCTCTCTTAGGGTGCCTGCACTCAAAATCCCATGATGCTGAGAGAAGCTGTTCATGTGATTTTTAGTTGTTTTGATTTTTTGTCAGATTGAACTGAATGAGATGTGTGGATATTTATATCGTTTTAATAAATCTTTTAAATATATCAGGAGACTTTTTAAAAAAAAACATATTTACAGCTTGGGGATTTGACGTTGTTTTCATGATTATTTTTCTGTTAATATTCTTCATCGACGCTCCCTCTCCTCCTCCTCTCCTCCTCCTCTCCTCCTCCTCATGCGCACCCCGGAGTGCAGCTGCTGATTGTCGGTCGTCCGGCTGATGTGCTGTCCGACCCAGCACCATGTAGCTGCTGGATGCTGACAGCAGAGCCTCCATCCATGACATCCCTCTGAACGGCGCGTCTCTCCTCCCTCCTGTCGGACCGCAGCCGCCTCGTCGTCCCTCCATCATGCTGCAGATCGGGGATGAGGTGATGTATTTCTCGGTGGTGTTTCTGACGGTGGTCCTGGTGACGAGGAGCGCCACGGGGGCCTCCCTCCTCACCGCGTTCCTCTACGTCTTCATGGTGATGTTCCGGTTCCCTCCGGTGCCGGCGGACCAGGCCGGCCGAGTCCTGCGGCTCAGGGCTCCTCCAGGCGGCGTCCCGGTGGTGGCGCACCGCGGAGGGAGCCACGACGCCCCGGAGAACACGCTGGCAGCGATCAGAGAGGTCAGACTGACAGATGCACATGTAGATATATCGGAACCTCATTACCTCAGATATCTCTAGAAATCTGACCAACACAGGCCTCTGTTGGAAAAGCGCAGCACAGGTGGCAGTAAGTCCTCACAAGGACACCAGGAGCTCCATGTTCTGGGATTATACGTGGTAATAGGTGCTATGTGATAATTATTTTTTGTCCTGCCATGTAGGCTGTAATTATTATATTCTTATTATTAATGTTCCAGCTTGTGCAGAACCAGTGGAAGCAGACCAGGTCTTGGTTGCATCACTAACACTGTGTTCTCATGCAGCCTGGAATACAATCTGGAGCCATCTTCATGCTGAAGTCATTGCATAACCTTTGCATGTACTGCAGGTGCTGAGTCAGCCATCTCATAACTGTGCTGTCACCGTCCTGAACACTGCAATCACCAAAACGGTTCCTCTGCTCTGTCCTTCTAATCAGATTAAGTTTCTTTTGCCCTCACATGCAGCTATTGAATGTCACGGACAGTGAGAGAGAAAAAACATCCCTCCCCACCTGGAAGCTTCCTCCTTTTATTGTTTTTCAGCACTGAGTCATGAACAATTTGCTGACAAGACTTTACACAAGAAGTCTCTTTCATGTCAAAACTGATTTCTAAAAAGTAATGTCAATTAGATAAGAATATAAAATGTAAAATAAATATTCACCCCTTAAATGTGGCTCTGACGCACCTGTGCTTATTGAAAAGCATAAGACATGAGATGGATACAAGAAAATGTCCAAGTCACTGATTATCTCCTGGAGTCACAATTAAATCCATCATTAAGAAACTGAAGGAATCCGGCACACGAGTAAATCTGTCTAGAGCAGGATGTCTGTAAAAAGGAGAAGGAGTTACTAGAAGGAGATTATAATCTCACTATAGTGAGGGAGGCCACCAAGACACCAACGACTCCTCTGAAGGAGTTAGAAGCTACAGATGAGAGAAACTCAGGAAAAAAGTTGATCTTAAATCTGGACGAGAGTTCAGAATGTGACATGTGAGATCAAAACTCAAACCTGAGCTACACAGAAATGATTTAAAGACAACAAACTGAATGTTCTGGAGTCAGAACCGAGACCTCGGTCCAGCTGAGGGGTTCTAGCTGGACTTGAACATTTCTGTTGATCCTTGTGGAGAATGAGGTCTATTTGCAGCATCCAGATGTTCAGGCTGGAGAACAGAAAGATCCCGGCTGTCCTCACCCTCTAGCTGCGAGGCAAAGCCAAATTCTATTGCTCATAATTCAATGTCAAAATGTGATAAAAGGGTGAAACCTCCAAAGGAGGTGAACACTTGGTGCTGTATATGATGGGAAATGAAACAGCAACTAAAACCCTGTTGTCAGGCTCAGTAACCAGGCTGAGGTGGAGATCTCTGACACAAGTGGACGTTTTGATTTTCCAGTCTGATGAATGCTGAATGGAGGCCGTAGATGTTATCAGACACTGGATCACTCGGTTTGTTTCTGAACTCGATGTCTGCTCCAGGCCAGCAGAAACGGAGCAGCCGGGGTGGAACTGGACCTGAGTTTCACAGCGGATGGAGTCCCGGTACTGATGCATGATGAGACCGTGGATCGGACCACCAACGGCTCCGGACCCGTCAGCAAACTTCCATTTGTCCAGCTCAGGAGACTGGACGCTGCTGCGCGTCACAGACTGAAGTACGTGATGCTTAGATACAAAAGACTAAAAACAGCAAGGAAATAGGAGGAACCTAAAGTGGAAATCTTTTAATTTAAAGTTACCAAAAAGTTTGAATTGTAGAAATGTTGTTTTCATAGGCCAACATTTAAAGGCTTTAGCACTCCACCACGTCAACTTTTACCCGTTTCGTTTGTAAATCTCACCTACATTTATGCATTCCTGGTTTAAGATGCTATCTCGGTCCCCGAATGGTTACAAGAATAACCTGGGATGTCGTCTCGCTGTGGTTTCTTTCTTCTCCAGGGACAAGTTCAGTGGAGAGAAGGTTCCGACTCTGCAGGAGGCCGTGGAGGAAAGCATCCGACACCAGCTCACCATCTTCTTTGATGTCAAAGGTCAACCTGATAAGGTACCAAACACATTCACATCTAACATACAGGCACATGGATGTTTTATATCTGGAACAATGTAGCAGTGACTTGAAGACACACCATGAAACTAGAAGCTGCTAATGCGTTACTGAGAAGACTTTGTCTACATGGAAAAGATGGCTGATGTTACAACAATACACAACGATGTCGTAACAAATCCATCATTCTGCTGTTTTTAGAGTTTGTTTATATGGATAATACTAATAAAGAGTATTCTTAAAAAGCTGCTCAGTGCACAAAGACTGTTTGTGCTGCACCTCTTCACCAAGACACTCCCGTCCTCTCCACGATGAGGCACAGGCTGCATGAACCTGCTCATAACCAGTGTTCTGCTGATCATGTCAAACCCTTCCAGGCTGCATCAGTGCTCCATGAGATGTATAAGAAGTTCCCAGTGCTTTACAACTCCAGCATCGTCTCCTCCTTCGAACCAAAAGTCGTTTACAAGGTAATCAGAAGTATGACAACAACGATGCAGATCATCGTGTTCTGAAAACTACACCAGCTGTACAAACACAAGTCATCAGTTTATCGTTTAATGAAAATTGTCTTTCTTTGATCTAGTTTTTGTGTGCTTTGATTTTGCTTATTGATGTCACTTATTCTCTGTAGATGCAGTAAAGCCCTCTGGACTGTTCCATTCAAACCATTTTTAGCCAAGACCTAGAATGAACTGTGTTGCTCGGCACAGACGCTGCTATAATGGATCCACAAGCCTGTTAGCCTGAGAGGCCAGATCCTGTGTTGACCTCTGACCTCTCCTGGTCCACAGATGCGTCAGACCGACCCCTCCGTGGTCACCGCGCTCACCCACCGGCCCTGGAGACTCAGCCGGTTTGGCGACGGCACTCCTCGAACCCTGTCCACGTGGGGTCAGCTGTGGACCGGCGTCCTGGACGTCCTGCTGGACTGGGCCCACCACCACATACTGTGGAAGCTCTGTGGGATCTCTGCCATTCTTGTGCAGAAAGACTTCATCTCGCAGTAGGTGGAATGAAATGTTGTCTAACGTGAGCTGTAGGATGCTGCTGGTTCCTCTGCTCTCAACATCTCATTGGTCTCATGGTTCTGAAATGAGCACAGCAGGCTGCAGCTGTTCATTAAATGAATCAGATGCGTTTAATTTCATACGTCGTGTCATTATCAGCTTCACAGTTAACAAAAGGGGATTAAGCATCTTTTAGCTTTTAGTCCTTTACTGTACAAATGATGAAACTTCTGATTTAATGAGTGGATTCAAAACTGGATATGAGTTTAATAAAAAAAAAAAAAAACGGTACAAATAAGATGAGATAAAACTTTATTAATCCTGAAGGAAACTCTTGGGCCAGATATTGGCCAGAAAAAAACAAATGACAGAACATAAGGAATCCAGAGCCTAAAAAGAACAAAAAAAGAAAGAAAGCATTGCCTTTAAACTGTATGACTTCGGTCAGATATTTTGGGTTTCCTTCCACCTTTTTATACAGTGTATGTAAACTTCTGGTTTCAACTGTATAAGTAGATCACTGACATAAAATAAGGAGCTAAAACAAGACAGTAATGCTGGTAATGATGCTGAGATAATAATTAATATCACACATGATGATGAAATAATGAAGGGTTAGGGTTGCAGAAACTGATATTGTGCAAACTATTGAGAAGTAATACCACACATGATGTTATCGTTTAGGTCTGGGTGATGTTTTAGGACCTGACTTGTTGTGAGTCTTGTTCCTTGTTTATTAAAGTGCATTCATTCTTCCCTCAGGGACTACGTTGAGTTCTGGGCAGAGCGAGGCGTGGAGGTGGTGGGCTGGACCGTGAACACCGCTGTGGAGAAGGACTTCTACCAAAACCAGCTGAAGATCAGCTACATCACCGACAGCCTGCTGGAAGACTGCGAGCCTCACTTCTGACACGCAGGATGATTCAGAGCTCAGATGTTCCCAACTCGTAACAGAAAACATTGAAGAGGCTGCAGAGTCTTTGGTTAGACAACAGACATAATGCGGCATTTCTCAGTTTCTTGCCATGAAAAAAACAAACTAAAATACTGAAATAAGTAGATGAAGTCAATAATAAGGTGGGATGAAGCCAGAAGCTTGGTGCTAATAACTCTGTGGTGATCAAACAACCCAAGCTGAATAAAAGTACCAACTGGGGACGTCACCTGTAGCTGGCATACAGGTGACTTCTCCTTTATATACATACATATATATCCTGATAAGGACTACCTAAAAGATCTTTTCTACCTTCTGAGCTGATCTTCCACCAGCTTGGTTGCACCTTTAAAGACACACCAGTGTACAAAGTCATCACGTTCTTCCATCATATTTAATGCCTGCTATCGTGATATCTAATTCCTAGTGAGCCGTAGAGGATCATCTTGTACATTCTGGGACTTGACTGACTGATTGTTTGAGTGAAACTTGCCTTCTATCATCAAGTGCCGCCGATGAACAAACACAGCACTGGTTTAACTGGACTGTGGGAGAGTAAATGCGCCACACAGCTGCAGGCCACATCGTGTGTTTTAATGTGATTAGAGCGAGGATTTAAAAACCCCTGATGATGCTGAAACAGCGTTAAGCAGGAGGCAAAAACAAGCAGTGAATGAATATTTCTTTCACACAATAATTCATGTTCTGGTCGTGTTTTCTCTGATTCAAATGCTGCTTTGTGGAATTTTCCTTCCTTTTAATTTGACAGTTCAGACTGCAGTCATGTCTCAGAATGAGCCTTAAATACCCAACAGGTGAAGTAAAAACTTTCCATCTTGCAGTTAAAATCTACAAATTCAGTCAAGAAAGATTTCTGCAGGAAGATTCTGGTTCTGAGACTAAAACGGAGACACAAGTGATTATGGGCTCAACCTTTGGCTGAAACAAATCTTCAGAATGTAAATCCTAATGAAACTTTCCTAAAAGAATAAATTTGCTAAACCTACATGAGTTGTCTTTTGTATTAATTTATGGGTGTCTTCTGTAACTTGAGAAGCGTGGCTGTGCGCAATGTGAGGATTTTACTGAGCAGATGTGGAAGCTGAGCTCGGACAGATCCCTGAGCATTCTGTGGATGTACAAACTAGTGAAAAGACATTCTCGTTGCATCCTGCAAGTCTGGGAAAAAAAAGCTTAAAATGGAGTTCATGCCTCTGTGCTGCGGCCCTCAGGTCTGCTCCAATCCGGGGACGCTGCGCCTTTAAAGCGCCGTAGGAGGCGTGTTGGCACGTCGAGGCGTTCCGCGGTGCGTCCGGTGCCTTTGAATGACAGCCGCTGTTCGGGCTGCGTGACATTGTGGCAGGACGAGACTCTCCAGGCTCCAAAGTGACTCGGACGGGGACGGCAGGTGGAAGAAGCAGGGCTGAGATGCGCCCTGGCGGCTGGTTTTACGCGCAGAGACTCGCGGCGCACGGCTCCGTTTCATGACAGCAGCACTTATGTCGGCTCCGTGGATCTGCGTTGGCAGCCTGTGAGGGGAAATTCAGCGGCAGATGCGTGAAAGTGCGTGGACGAGCATCTGGGAGCCTCGTTCTTACTGCAAAGTGCCAAACTCGCGGTTCACAGGTGAATCTGGCTGCGCATGATGTACACGATCACTAGAGGTCCCAGCAAACTGGTCACCCAGCGACGCACAGGTGAGGGTCTGCACTGGAAACCAACGTCCACGTCCTGAAACAGCCTTGTTCAGGCTTTTATTCTGGTAGAGAATCATGATGGCTTGTTTTCATTCTCATTTTAGGGCCTACACAACCACTGGAGAACAAAGCAAACGACTTTAAGCACAAGCAGACGTCCTGGAACATGCCTGAGTAAGTGTGCAACTTCTGACAAGTCTCCTCCAGTGTCTCTGTGGTCTGTTTCTACATGTGTGGCACTAGAGGTCTTATCTATTCTGAGATATTCCAGATGTTCAGGTTATTTGTGTTGGTTAAAGTTAGTGAACAGGATGTGCAGGCAGCAGTGGACGTCATCAGCTTGAGACAGTTTGTTCATCAGCACAGGCCTCAGTCCCTCAGAGCACTGGGGCTTCCTCAGCGATCCTGCTGGGCTGTTTTCATGACTTTGAACCAGCCAGACAGGCCCTGTATGTGTGCATGTGTGTGACCTTGGGTGAAGGCGAGGTGGCACATGGTCCTTCACTCAGCTGTTGTAATCTCTGACTCCTGCTCAACCAACCTTGCTTGAATTCACAAGTTTCAGAAAGTTCCTGCAGAGAAATCAAAGTTCTTTTTGAGAATGACGACAACACGTTTTCTTCTTCTCTGCGCCCATCAGCCTTCCTGCACCCAAGATAGTTTTCAACCGTCTGAACGGTAAGAAGTACCATCACCCTGCTCCGGCTCTCCCTGCAGACACGCAGCCTGACGAGAGCTTCAGCCCCGCACACGAGGAAAACGTCAAGTTTGTCTATGAGGGTAAGAAAGCAGATCAGTGATGTGACTGGAAACATGAGGTGAGCCCAGACGACACTTGTTGTTGTGTTACTGTATCCACACACCGTCCCTGCTTGGCTGCTCTGTGAATGGCATTGTTCTGCTATCAGAGATCAGAGGAGCTGCTAACCGGCCTTCCTCCTCCCCCGCTCAGGCCTCACCCACACAGCTGCTCCAACATTGATAGCCATGACCGACACCAAGCACAGAAATGCTCTCACGCCCACATACATGCTCCTCATGACCCACGCAGGCACACGTGCTCAACCAGCCTGCTTTTTTTTTTTTTTCTTGTTTTGTTTTGGCTTTGACTCAAACCCAGCAGCCGCTCGGTGGGAAAGAGGCCTGCTGTCCACTTAAAGGAAGAACTACACTCGGTTCTGACAGGATGAAGGGTGTCGTTGGGTTACACGGTGACCCAGTTTTTAACCGGCTCATTCGGTCTCCAGGAGACTTCACTTGGCTCAGCTCCTCAAACTTTTTGTGTCCTGTTAGTTGTTGGCGTCGAGGCTCAGCTTCAACAGCTCATAAACAACTCGAGTAACCTTGTGTTTGAAGGGCGCAGCGTGGCCCGACTGCTCTCTGAAACACCTCAACTCCTCATACAAACACGTTAGAGTCTACTGAAGGTTGTGACCTGGAGGCAGCGAGAGAGAAAATCAGCTCTCACACTCCACATGTGACCACAGGCTGCATTATTTGAAATACAGACGCTTGCGTGCAGGAGTGGCCGGCCTTTGAAGCAGCTGCCCTTCTGGACTTTACTTGTTTGACACTGTGGGTGTGACGCTGGGGTGCAGGCCTGTTTTTTTTAAACTTTCACAGATAAGGACATCTTGGTGCTAACTGGGGCTTTACTGACCGAGTTGCTTTGTTTTCAGCCTGGCAGGAGGTGCTTGAGCAGGAGCAGGGGCCGGGCCAGGGGCCAGCGGTGGCCCAGAGAGTGGTCCACTACAAAGAGACCGGTCCCGGCCCACACATGGACAGTGAGTACAGCTGCTGGTCCTTCTCCTGCTCATATCGTCAACATTTGTAACATAGATTTTGTGTTTAAAAAAAACTGCAGTTGAGGGATTAAAAGACTGTGCTCCCCTCGAGCCATAAGGATCAAATGTTATAGGACTGCTTGTCTTTGAAGTGCATCAAATAAATCTACTAAATGTACAACACCGACAGGCCTGCAGCTGTTGAAAGCTGCACACTAGGTTGCATTGGTTTATGACAGCCAGCAAACCCAAAATTAGAATATCAGAATGAGCCAACTCTTATCTAATCATCATCATAATAATAATCATAATCATAATAATAATGTGGTCTTGATTTAACTTCTACCTGTGGCTGGTCATATTTTGAAGATGTAGACAATAATCACAGTCGTGCTGTAGCCACAACAATGAGACATGAAGTAAAATAACAACAACAAAGTAGATAATCAGCCTTAAAAGTAATATTAGTAATGTGGTGCTGTATGTATATAGCCTCTAGTTTTAACTTCTACATTACGGATTAGGATATTTTATTTTGAAAGTGCCTTACAGGATGTATTAGTATACGGTGGTGGCGGTGACTTGACAGATCTGAGTTGCAGTTCCTCATTGTGACCACCAGAGGGCAGTAAACGGCCAAGCCTCACATAAACCGAGAATAATTATAAGATCGGTCGGTATAAATATCTTTATTAAACGGCACTAAATCAACTAACTACTAGAAATAAAATATAACAGCTGTTGTTGATGATTTGTTTCTCTCTCTTCTTTTGTTTTGTTTGGTAATCAATTTAAAAACTATGTTAAGTGCTAGCATGCTAATGTCTGCCCAGATGTTAGCATGGATGCCTCCAGCAGGACCAGCAGCTTCACCGCCTGAAAACAGATTTTAATTTTACAAAATGCAGCAAAGCTTATTGATATAAATGTTGATTGTGGCATTTTAGCTAACAGTGAGTTTGAAACTTTGACTTGAATAACGAGTTATGCTGAGGATAAGAACGAGCGTTATCCTTCAATTTAATGTAGGGTTGCAGTTCCTCGTTGTAGCCACTGGAGGGCAGCAAAGCTCGTTATTGTAAATACACTCGCCTCATCAAGGTAGAAGCAATAACATCAGGATGCCACTTCCGGTCTGGGCAGTAAAAATAAAACTGAGCTGAGTTAATATGGAAACTATGAAAACTAATGTTTTTGAATAAACAGAAATGTGAACACTTAATAGTAATTGACTTTCTGGTTGAGATTCAAAATGTGATCATCTATTATTTTATTGTACGACACTGACGTCAAGCACAGAAAGTTTACTTCACATATTTCATTATTTCCGTAGCTTTTTAGGGTATTATCACCGTTACGTCCTCACACCACAGACATGGCTGCAGACTTTTATGGTTATGTTAAGATGGTGACTCTTAAACTCCTTTCTCCCGTCTCTCAGCCTTCGTGCCCATAGATCTGGATGAATGGTGGGCCCAGCGCTTCTTGGCCAACATAGACAAGCTTTCCTGACGCTCATCCGGGATTTGATGCTGTTGGACAGTCAGGAGGTGAGACCTGAAGCAGGACGGCTGACGGAGGAGGAGGAAGCCTGGACGGGAGGGTTGATGGGCCAGAGTGCCCTGATGTGATTCAGATGGACTGACAGTGCTGGGACGCTGGCAGAGAAACTACCGAGAATCACTTGAACTGTTTCCTTCTAGCGGCAGTCCGTCTGTCTCCAAATGTTCCGAGACAGACTGCAGGCAGGAGGACGACGTCTCCAAGCCGAGGTTTCTCTCATGTTTTGACCCTCACAGCAGAGATGTTGCTTTGAAATGCAATAAATTGTATTTTCAATAAGTTCTGGATTTACTGGATTCTTCTTGTTTTTAACGCTGGGATGCGTGTCGGGCACCACAGAATTAAAACATTCTCACATTACATTCCCCAAATCCTGAACATAGACAGTAAATCTTGCCACATTTCAGGTTATTACCTCCTGATAAACCACAAAAGTGAACGTAACATATTTAATATAACAAAAGATGAAAAATTAGGGAGGGCACATGAAAAAAATAAAATTAAGCCATAACAGCATTCGGGGTGTTTTCCATTTCTAACTGAAGCACAAACCTCCAAGGCGCCAGACTCCATCTATCATTAGCTATTTCAACAGGACTCAGAAAGGTTTTGAAGAGACCAATCCTGAAAACTGGGATGCAGCCAGTGTTTTCAGGATGCCACTGAGCTGAACTATTTATTTTGGGAGCGCTGAAAACAAAATGTTTTTCACATATCTGGACATGATGGGAATGTGACGGTCACACTGACATGAATGAGCAGGCGCAGCAGCGACCTTCATGACCAGACGGTCTTCTACATGAAACTCCTGATGAAATGGCGCCGAACTCACGTCGCTCCGTGTTTTTCCTTCTTCAGCCGTGTGCTCCATCGGGGGGGAAGAGGTGATTTTTATGGCTTCAGATAAACAAAGGCCTGTAGCGTTCTTCACAAACTGCAGTTCTGCGGCTTCGTAAGCCCTCACCTACAGGTACAGGTACCTACAGGTCGCCAAAACAGAGTCCAACCGCAGGCAGCTCTCAGTGCTTCTCCAGAGCTTTAGTCAGGAGATCATTGAGACGAGAAATCATGGGTCGGGGATCGTCGTTTAAGCCTGCTGCGATCATGGCATTGTCATAGATCTGTAACACATAAAGAAAGAAGCAATTAGCAAATCATTTCACAGATAAATATCCTGTTTAAAAAATAAAAAACTCAACAGAGAGACTGGTAACACTACTGATGTTTATCACTGTAGTCAAACACCAATGGCTCCTCTGATATCAGCTATGGGAAATTCTCAAAGACAAACTGGCACTCTGGTAAAAATAAGAGCCGACCTGGACGGATAACGGTCACGTTAAAGGCACTGAAGGGAAGTGCAGCCCCCTGTCCTCTTATACCCCTTTTCCACCAAACTGGTTCCAGTGCTAGTTCCATGCCAGTGCCTCACTTAGCACCAGTTCTCTGTGTTTCCACCACCGAAGCACCGGCTCCAGGCTCTCAAAACTGATGCTTAGCAAGCACCAACTCTTTGCTGGGCCAGAGAAAAGCACCGAGTACGTCAGGGGCTTGGGGCGGAGTTATCGTGACCACTGAGACCGATGAATGGGACACACAAGCGGTGATTTGTGTCGTTTTTCACCAGGACGTCCCTGGTCCGATCACAGATGTACTGGAATGAGTCCGGGGACACACAGGAAGTGTTGCACAAACCTTTGCACACTGAAATCTGGTAGAACTGTGTCCCGCCAGCAGCACCACAGTGGTGGAAAACAGGACTTCTATAACTTTGGTGTGCTGCGGTATTTAGGCTTAGAAATGCGGTCTTCTTGTTTATTCCGCTCATAGAAAAGACTGCATGAGAAAAAAATCACCGTTTCATCTGGGACAAATCTGACATCAGAACACCCTGGTTTGCTCTTTTTAAAGTCATTTTTGGTCGCACGCCGGTCTGAGCACCGCGGCCACCAACAGCAGCTACAGCCTGCTATGTGGGGCGTTCAGGGAACATCTGTAAATTGTAGAGTCGTGTGTTTTTCCTGTGACAAGGTGGGAAGTGCGAACAAATCAGAAACTTGGTCGCACCGGTAAAAAAGTCACTCCTGTGTGGACTTCCATGTGGCGCGAGCGTTGTCCGGTAAACGGCTCTAACTTGGCTCCTGGCTGATGGAAAAGCAACCAGTTCTTAGATTGGAACCAATAAGCACCAGCACGAAACGAGCACCTGGTTCTTTTTGGTGGAAAATGGGTATCTGAAACCGAAATCTTTGCAATATAAAGTCTTGCCGTCTGAGACAAAGAATCCACTGCACTGTGGCAGGACAGGTCTGTCTTTAAACCCGTTACTCACGTGGAGTTTTTCAAGTAACATGCAAACATAAAACGACAGCAGCAGCAGATAAAGTCAGCAGAGACCAGAAAACACTGATAAACTGTATTCCTAAGAGACAGCACCTGCTCCAGCAACAGTCCAGCCAGTTCAGAGTCGGTGTCCTTCAGCTGCTGCAGCTTCTTGATCAGATCATGTCTGAGATGGTAGAAACACACAGTCAGAAGTAGACACCACAAACCCACATTTTTAAAACAGTGTTCCCTGTTTTGGTCCAGTAAAATCTGTCCCGTCTCACCCTGCGTTGATCTCCAGCGTGGGCTGCAGGATCTGGGCTCTCTCCTCGGCGGTTCGGGCCAGCTGCTGGGTTCGGAGGAAGTGGCGAGCGGCCCCCATTTCCAGCACTGTGATCATGGCTGGGTGGGTGTCCAGACGAGGAGTCAGCTGAGAGTCGGAGGAGAAAACACAAGTCTGTCACAAGTCGCTCTAAGGATGTTTGTCAAGCCAAGCCAAGAACCAAATGTGAGAACGACTCGGAAGGTTTTCAGTTTTGCTTTTTATACATATTATTAAACCACGCTAAGGATGTCACAAGGCTGAAGGCCAAGACTCCAGGACAGAAGGCTCAGAAACAAAGCTGTAAATATTCCAGACGGCTGAACTATGAAGTGAGATGAGCGGGTCGGCCGGTATGTTGAGCTTAAAGTCATGAAGGTGGCTCTCTGTTAATCTGCTAGATCTCCATGGTAACAGATACTGTGGCGCTACATCACCGTGGTAACTGATGCTGCTGCTTTAGCGTCTCCCTTTAGCCAACCTGTTTCCTGATGATTCTCTCAGCTGCTGTTTGTAAACCTGCTGATCTGCATGTTAGTGAAACGGAATCATGGAAACCTGCATGTGTTCAGCCTGTGATGCAGAAATCACATAAATCTGTTTTTATGTTCGGCCCGTTTACGTGCTGGGACTGCAGCTGATAGATCACTGATTAGAACATTGATTATCTATTGGTATTTATTACAGAGGATACTGAATCAATAATATTAATTTCTCTTTGATTTGTCCCTGCATTAAGGGACAGTGTCAGAGCTACAATATAATATGTTCAGTGAAGTTTAAAGTTTAACACCTCTGACATGCAGCTGTCAGTTATCAATAATCGGCTGCATTGATCAGTACGATACACATAATTAACAGTTTTCTACCAGCATTCCTGTCTACAGTCGAGTCTGAAGCAGAAAGCTGATGTCTCTGATGGAGGTGGAGCCGACCTACACACAGAAAGCCTGAATCTGTCAAACTGGCTTCAGATCTTTCCAGTCCTGCGTTTACACATGAGCCGAGTCCATCCACACAAACATCCTGCTAGCAGTGTTTCATTACCTTTATGTTGGTGACTCTGGGCCCCAGAGCGTTCTTCATCCAGGACATCAGGTCATCGGCCTGCTCCTGCGTCAGACGCTCAGATGCTGCAGACGAGAACAGAAAAAGGAGTCAAGATCACACCAGAGACAGCGAAAGGTGTTCTGCTGAAACCGACAGGAGATGGAGGCACACCTGGTTTGCTGTCCTCGAACTTCTCCTCCTTGTAGTGATCCACCACGATGTCGGTCTCCACCGAGATCAGCTTCTTCTTGTCAAACTCTCTGAGGTGGAGCAGCGTCAGCTCGTCAAACTGCTCGTAGCAGAACAGCACCTGCACACAAACAAGACGGAGTTTAATGGATTGTGGACAGAGGTTTGTGCTTTCCTTTATAAAGGTTTATCAGCAACGAAGCCCTTTGTCATTGTGTGGTAGTGTTGTGCGTCTATAGCTTGTCACCTGTTGTGTACTGTATTGACCAACGTGGCTGTTTCAGACGAGACCGATTATCAGTAATCAAGAGGACCGATGACCAATATTTGGATATACTTTACAGTAAAATGTGTTGAAATGCTTTTGCCTATTTATGTTTATTTGGAAGAGAACTAATCAACATTCATCCTTCGGTGCCGAGAGGCTGATGAGAAATCGATGAGAAGTGCTGTGGTCAGGAGATAGGCTCTGATGCAGGCTGTCGTCAAAGCAGCACATTTCTAGATTCATTTAACAGGAATTGGTTAAAAACAAAACAACAGCTGCTACGTATCGGCTCCAGGCTGCGGTTCCATCCTCTGGTTATGTGGCTACCGGCCTACATGACGTAGTCTCACCTCCATGTCCTTCTGCTTCATGGCCTCGTAGTAGGGCGAGTGCTCTGCCAGATGCCGGTTGGGGGCGCACAGGTAGTGGATGTTGCGTGTGCCGGCCTTCATGCGGGAGCCGTACTCCATCAGACTTGTCTGCTGGCCCGCCGGCAAAGCAGACGACTCAAACCTCAACAGCTTGGCAATATCCTCCTACAGAGAGGGGAGACGGCTGCTGTCAACACGGGTCTCCTGTGCAAACCAACTTATCGCTTCAGTTCTGAGCTCCAAAAAACGAAACGCGCTCACCTTGACGTCTTGTTCCTGGGTGGTGACGATGCCCTCCCTCATGAAGAGTCCGTAGTCTTCAAAGAACTTGTTGTATTTCTCCGGCTCCTTCTTGCTCTGGTCCAGCAGGAAGCGGATGATCCTCTGCTGCAGAACATCACGGAGCTTCCTGAAGACAGATAAACACGTTATCGATCCTTTAAATTAAACACTCCTAATATGTAACGTGAAAACTTTACAATATCAACACAACTGTATCGAAGAGCAAGTAAAGAACTGACAAATACATTCTGAATTTATGAGTTAAAGGGAACATCGCAGGCCTTTTTTCAGATTTTAGTTCATTTATATGCTGTTCTGAAGTCAGACATCTGTGTTACTACATAACCAAAGATCTCAGTAAAATGGATCAGATGGATAGAAGGATACTTTATTCATCGCCTTTGGGAAATTCAAGACGTATAAATGCCTCCAGTGACTGTTTGTTGATGCTTGAAACTGTCAACTTGCATATTCTGAACAAAGTTCTGACCCAGATGTGTACAGATGCATTTAGGACACTGATCTTAGGACCATGAAAACTGACTAAGACCTTTAACAGTAATGAAGACAACCAGCCTCAAAGTCAGGAGTGCTACACTGGTGCTGTACCTGATGAGGGCGCTCTCCTGCAGCAGCTCTCTGCTCAGATTAAGTGGGATGTCCTCGCTGTCCACCACGCCTGCACACAAACACACAATTTTTCAACTTTTTCTGTTTTGCTTCCATAAAGTCCTGCATGTAAAACGGTAAAACCAAGCAGCTGCAGCAGGAGCAGCTGGAAGCATTTCAAAGCATTCGAATGGATGCAGACCTCGAAGGAAGCGCAGCCACTTGGGCAGGATGTCGGTGGCTTTGGTCTGGATCAGGACCTTCCTGCTGAACAGAGCCACACTGGAGCCCATCTCCCTGCTCACGTCAAACATGCTCGGCTTCTGTGCACAGATAAAACTTTCATTACATGTGAATTTAATCAAATTCAACTTAAGTTTACTGACTACCACTGAAAAAGTGTCTTAAGAGAGAATCACTCATTAAAAAATTGGGTCCAAACATTTGCTGGTTTGATCCCCCAGCAGCTGAAATAAAGTTTTCACTGCTCCCACTGAGTGACCAAAGACCCTCCTCACCGTCTCAGGGACGTAAAAGATGCTTCGGATGTTGAGCGGGGCGTCGGCGCGGTAGTGCAGAGTGTAGCGGGGCTTGTCGTAGGCCTGAGCCACGTAGCGGTAGAACTCCTCGTGCTGCCAGTCGCTAATCTCTTTAGGCTCCATCATCCACAAGGCCTGGAAGGACAAAAAGGTCCAGCATCAGTTATTAAAAAGAAAAGACATCACAAGTTAAGTGTCCGAGTGCATGCTACAGACACTGACTTGTTTTCGCCTCAGACTACATGAATAATGGTCAGTAAGCTCAGATTTCAGATTGTAGAAGCACAACATTAGCATGGAGGCAACAGAAACACTGACTTATTTACACTTACCTTAGTTGAAATTTATTCTAAATGATGAAAATACTTTGCCTACATTGTGACACAGAGCTAAGTCAAACTGTGAACACATCAAATAGTTTGTACTGCTGTTTTTGTATTCATTATGTGTTGCAGTGTATTTGTTGCGGGCCACACTGGTCCATTAATCCTAGAAATCATAAACACAGAACAGAATCATGTGTTCTAGTGTTTCCTGTTCAGTGAGCAACAGAAGCAGAGGCGCTCACCTGTAGAGTGTTGAGCCTCCGTCCGTTCAGGAAGATGGGGAAGCTCACGAAGTTGCTGTATTTTGTTACAACCTCTGAAACAGAAACAGCAGTTTGTCATCACACGGAAGGACGCGTTTCCTCACTTGCAGTCACAGCTGATCCAACATACCTTTAACTCTGTCCTCAGAGGAAAACTCCTTGCAGTCTTCCTTGAGGTGCAGCACGATCTTTGTCCCCTGTTGAACGCCACTGGCTTCAGCAATCTCAAAAACTCCAGAGCTGAGGGAGTCGATGACAAAATGTTTGAGAATCGCACTTCTGGCTGTGTATGAATACAGAATCAAGCCCACCATGTTGATCTTTTCCACCTCCATCCATCCATTTTCTATACACCGCTTAATCCTCATTAGGGTCGCGGCTGGAGTCTATCCCAGCTGACTCAGGGTGAAGGCAGGTTCACCTGGACAGGTAACCAGTCTATCGCAGGGCCACACTTAGAGACAGACAACCAAGCACACTCACATTCACACCTACGGACAATTTAGAATCACCAATTAACCTCAGCATGTTTTTGGACTGTGTGGGAGGAAGCCGGAGAACCCGGAGAGAACCCACGCTGCACGGGGAGAACATGGAGACTCCACGCAGAAAGATTCTGGTGCCCCCACCGGGACGCGAACCGGCAACCTTCTTGCTGCGAGGCAACAGTGCTACCAACTGTCCACCCTGCAGCCCCTATCTTTTCCACCTCTTGATGGTAAAACACTCGGTTTCATTGCTCTCACCCGTCTGAGGACCACTTGTACCCGGGTGCACCAGGCTCAGCGGAGCGGGAGTAGACATCCACACGGTCGGACACCATGAAGGCAGAGTAGAATCCAACTCCAAACTGACCAATGATGGTGCTGCTGGCCTCGGCCTGGTTCTGCAGTGCGTCCAAGAACGCCTGCAGAGGAGACGAACACGAGGGTTGAATAAAAAGCTCCACGACTGTGTACGAAGCTGGCGTGCAACATGTGCAAGCAGCAACTGTCATGAGACATTTGTTTTGTAAAGCGACACCTGCAATGAGCACTGAATCTCTTAAACTGTGTCAACATGGCAGCTCTGCAACTTGAATTTCATTTTGGGGAGAAGGAAGAAATCATGGGGAGCGAGTGCGGCAGAGGGAGCGTGAGGAGGCCAAAACACCTGATGGAGCGCTCACATCATCACGCCTCAGTTCAGGTGGTGGCTCTGAATGTTCTCCCTCAGACACCTCAGGACGTTACACTAGAACTCTGCCCTGAGACTCATTCCTGGTGCACAACCTCGTGAGTGCTGGACAAAGCAATATGTTTGCTCCAGGTCTGCCCCAGACCCAACACACCTTGGCTGGTTTTGTAAACTGCAGGCTCTTTCCCTGGAAAAAAAAAAAACATTTCTTCTCTTGGTTTAAGCTGCAGACCCTCCTCTGGTCACCAGTGATGATCCTCGACATTAAAATTGGCTCGTCCCGGCTGCTTTCTTACACAAAATGTGACGTTTTGGTCTCTGCTCCAGTTTAAGGGCTTAAAACATGTGCAACGCTGGTCCTGCTGTTCAAAGCACTGCGTCACATGTTTGGTTCAAAACTCTATGATCCACCTTAGTTCATCATATACACATGTAGGTGAACAAGTACACAAAGATAAACGTTAAAAGCTGAACCTACAGGCAGGACAAATACACCAAAGAACAGGAACAGGAAAAGTAAAGGTACAAGAGCCACGGCAGCGTTACCTTGGAACCAGAGCGGGCGATAGTACCCAGGTTGGCCACCAGCTCCTCTTGGTTCATACCAACTCCAGTGTCCTGTGGGAGTGCAGAGAAACCAGTCATAAGGAATAAGAAAACAGGCAGTTGTGAGACAGGAGTGGGAGTGCCGCTGACACTGTGCTATGATTTGGTTTCCTTCACCTTGACACAGAATTAGAAAGCTGCTGTTATCAGCAAAATTTGATCAACAGCATCATGACATCTGGTAAACTATTCACCGTTTGACTTTCCATAATGCTGCACGATCTTTTAAACTTTTTAAAATACTTGTCCTCTTGTGTTGTGTTGCACATTTCCCAATTATTGAGCAAGGATGCTGGTGGCATCACTCAACTCTGTGGGCATCAATCAGCAGAGGAGGGAAACTACTGTAAATTCCAGACTATAAGCTTCTACTTTTTAACACGCTTTGAACGCTGCGGCTTCAACAACGATGCGGCTAATTTATGGATTTTTACGAATTTGCCTTGAGACGAAAATGACGTTGAGAGCAACAACGACAGAGAGCCTGAGGAAGTGTGTGATGAAGGAATTCTGAGGCTGTTCAACTCCAACACTGAAGACTTTAGTGGTTTTAGTGCAGGAGGAAGATGAAGATAGCGATCAGTGACTTTTCCTGGTAGGCTGCTGTATGTTTTATTTTTTTAAGCAGTCGTGTTACAGGAACTGTTCGGAAAAAAGCATGTATGGTATTTCTTTTTAAAGTTAGTGGGTGGAGCTTATGTTCAGGTTCGCTATAGTCCGGAAATTACGGTATCAGGGCAAAGTGGAATCCTTGACAATGGTTACAGTGAATCCTGTTCCTCTCAAATCATCTAATCAACTTAAAAGCACAGACAGACAGAAGGTGAACCTGGATAGTGAAGGTGCCCTTTTCAGCGTCGCTCTGAAGATGGATCTCCATTGGAGCCGTTTCACCTCCTGCTGTCATCAGTTTGTGGCGCAGTTTCTCCAGTGCGTCGCTGCCATTAGAGATCAGCTCTCGAATGAACACCTATCAGGACGAGGAACAGCCAAGGAATCGGTCACAGAGGAGAAGCAACGGCTCAGTTTGGAAGCATACGTTTCCCTATTTCACACAAGCTCTCACCTCTTTCTCAGAGTACAGAGATCTGGCGACAATGTCCAGCAGCTTTTTTGTTTCCGCCTGAAACTCATGTTTGGAGGAGCTACCTGGAAAGATCAGGAGAACATTTAGGTCAGTATAACCCGACAGCAACGTCTGAATATTCATTATGTCTGCAGCCGTCTCTGCACCTTGTACAGCCTCCGTATCACTGATGATGGTGTGAAGAGGTTCCTCTTCAGGCTCTTTCTCGGCCTCCTGGGTGCTGTAGTAGGACTGCTGGCTGAAGCCGAGGCAGGACCGCTGAGAGCTCCACACTCTGGGCCGGCTGCTCCACCGCTGCAGCTGTCCAACCTGCAGGTCTGATGACAGGAGGATGGAGATGGTGGGGTTTGTTTCACAAGTAGCCTTTTCAGAGGGTTTACAGGGCCTGCATTTATCAGTATTACACTCTATGGGACCATGTCGTGAATACAGAAATTCTTTGCTAAATGGAAAGAATAAGACATTTATCAGATAACTTGCTCTTAATAACATAAATGAGAAATCTTCCAGAGCACCTCTTAAGCATGCATCCTCAAAACCACATAGACCAGAATAATGCATGTAAAGAGACAGATTCACATTCTAGTTTATTGCAACACAATACCAATTATTTTCCAAACTTCTGTTTTTTTTTTAGAATAGCATATTGTTTACTTGCTGAGCAGACTGAGGTGAACCGAGAGCATTGCCAAAGGGAAATTTCCCAACATAAGAAAAGTAAATTTGGAAATTTGTCTAAGTCAGAAACCAAAACTTCAGATTAAAAATGACCACGCTCAACTTCAGAATGCATTTGTACACAAAACAAGACACAGCTCATGTTACAAAAGGGTTTCTTTAAGGCCAGTAAGGAGATTTAAAAGATGATCATAGCCATCAGTAAGACTCTTCATGTAAATGTGTTGACAAACAGCCTGTCCTTCAAAGTCCCTCTCCGGTTATTATTATGTCCAAAAAGTTGATTAGAAAGTGACAGGAAACAGTGTGGTCAGAAATATATGATCAATAACAAAAAGTGTTCACTTTACCAAAGACATGCCATGAAGTAATAAATCTTCACATAGTCTACAAATAAACCATTTTTCCTGCTTGATAGACATTAACAACTGCATCTTTATCATTTCCCAGTGAATGGCTTTGAAAAACTATAGTTTACGTGTGTCTTAAGGTGTTTTAACTTCAACACTTCTTGTTAAAACCTACAGCATATGGCTCACCCACCTGATCTCCCCTTTAAAGCTGAGTTTGTGTAATAATAACACGATCCTAACCTCATGCTGTCACTTCTTGCTCCTTTGCACTTGTTTTAAGTTCTTCAGCGAAGATTTGGGCTAAAATGAAACTGACAGGCAGCTCTCAGATGCTTTAGGATCCTCAATTATCATTAATGTAACCAACAAAACATGGCACCATATGGCCAAGCAGCAACTTATTGTTGTACTGTAAGCTGCTGTAGTTAAGTAAGTTATTAATAGGAAATAGGGCTGCAGGGTGGCGCAGTTGGTAGCACTGTTGCCCCGCAGCAAGAAGGTTGCAGGTTCGCATCCCGGTGGGGACACCGGAATCTTTCTGCGTGGAGTCTCCATGTTCTCCCCGTGCAGCATGGGTTCTCTCCGGGTTCTCCGGCTTCCTCCCAC